GTTTAAGTCTGGGTTGATCTAACAATTTGAGCCTATCAAATTATTCCAGACCCATGAAACAACTCAGGGTCGACCAAATTGTATTTTTTAAAAATAAGAGAAAATTATTATTTTTATTTAATCTTTAGGGATTTTAATTCTTTTTCTATTTAAGTTTTAAACATAAATAACCTAACATAATTAATTCTAATGTTTGCAATGCAATATTCTATATTTTTCATTTATTTCATATAATTAACATAATATAAATAAATATAAACATAAATATAAGTATAAATATAAATATATTATATATTATATAATTAAAAATGAATCAAATCGGATCAAATTTAGGCTGATATCAATATTATACATGCTTATTTAAGTTTGATTCGACTAAGGAATTTGAGTTTAAGATTATATCTATGTTTGTCCAAATTACATATTTTTCTAAAAAAAATAAAAATGTTAATTTTATTTAATCTTCAGTAATATTTATTAATTTTTATTAAGTTTTAAAATATAAATAACTTAACATAATTACTAATGCTTACCATGCAATATTCTATATATTTATTCTTTATATGATATAATTCACATAATATATATAAATATAAAAGTAATATATTATATAATTAAAAATGAGTTGGGTTGGGTTCAACAGTAAGCCTTGGAATCAAGACTTGGCCTGATTTAAAAAAAAAAAAAAAAAAAAAAAAACCTCATTTTTTTGAGTCTTCATATTTTAGACTAAAGTTTTTAAAAAATTAATCAAGCTTTAAGATTTAAACGGATAATTCAATCCCTCAACAAATAAGTTTATGGTAGAAATTTGGTGCATATATGCATAACCATAATTTAATTTATTACAGAAGGCACAAAATGAGGGTCATTTATTTATTTATATTTTTGAAAGGTAAAAGAAAATTTTTTTAAAAAGATAAAATTTGGGAAAAACTCAATAAATAACCCGAAAAGCTATAATGAGGACATTTATTTTCTTTGTTAATGATTAAATCGAATTGTGACGCCTACAAGGATAACATTCATCAAAGAAGAAAAAAAAAAAACTTGTTTGTTGTTGAAGATTATAACTTATACCTATAATACATGATTTTTTCTAGTTATTTCAAATGAGATTTTACATCTTCAAGCAATATTGAAAAATGAAATTCAAATATGAGATCTTAATTTTAAGATAAAGTTTTAATAAACGTTATGCTATCATTTGAGTCGAGACATTGTGTGCTTTTTTCTTTTTAATGATATTAAATTTTTGAGTAAAAAAAATTGTTTACTTAATTTTTGATGTGAATCTCATTAAACATGTTTATGGGTCAAGTTTTAAATAAAAATTTGCAAACTCAAGCCTGATCTGACCCGAGATGTTAAATTATTAATAAATATTTTTAAATATAATTTTAATTAAAAAATGTTAAAATATTTATATTTTAATAATATTTTAATATTTTATTCTTTTAAAAGAATTTTAAGTCTCTTGAATCCGACAAACTGAACTAAGCCTTAAACAAAACTTTTAAATGACTGATTGAGTCCGGTCCAATCTAATCCGACTTATAGATCTTTTTATTATTAATTTTAGCTTCTTATGTAAGGAAAGCAAACTTACAATGATTTGATTAATGCTGAGAAATGAAGCGAAGGAAGGCATTATCTAATGGAATAAGCTAGAGAAGATTTGACGATATGAGAGAATTTTGTGGGTTTCGTTTAGAATGACAAACAAAAAAAATTGCATTCACTATGAAATGGAGCGGATAATGAGGGAGGCAAAAAGTGGAGTGAATGGATTTGTTTATTTGTTTATATACCTATTAAATATTACAACTTGTATTAGTGTTTATTCACCTTAAAGCACTAATTACTTTATGTCCTCATCATACTTCTGGAGATAACAACGGTTCACTATTACGACAGGTATGATATATTTTATAATGTTTATATTTATTTTTGTATCTATAATTGTCAAATAATATTTTTTATATTCATTTTTGTATCTAATGAATAATGATAACTTCATTAAAATTTGAATACTGGATTATAATTTAAAAAAATTATAAAATAATTAAAAATATCAAACATGTAATCTAACAAAATTAATTAAAAATTTATTTTCATTTTTTAAAGTAACAAAAATAACAAAAAGATAAAAAAAAAAAAAAAGCTCAAAAGCATTAAAAATTTGGTCTTTAAATAAGAATGGGAGTAGTAAATTAAAGGAGAAATAATAAAATAATAAAATGGTCTTTAAATAATAATGCAGTCAAATTAAAGTATTGCTTAAAGCATAAAAAAATGATTTAAAAAATATTTTTGTAATTTATATATTTTCATAATAGATAAATTATTTTAATTATCAAAAAATAAAAGAGAAATGAAAATATTTTATATATGTCAAGATGATTGGGGTAGGTATTACCAATCCATCCTCTAATTTGAACCCGTTTACTTGATCAAATACAAATTTACCATATACCATAGATAATTTATCAAATATGAATAAAATTACCATCCTTACATATTTCTTTTCTATTTATAATATTTTTTTGTTTTTGTATAATTTAGTATTAATTCATAATCAAGTAACTCAAATATTAAATATGAAAAGGTATCTTAGATTTTATATTATATTTTTCAATGGGACAATTAGACCGTAAAAGCTTGAAATTGTAATTTGAAGATCTTGAATTTAAATCTTAAATTGAAAGAGGATTATCATATGTAATTTTTATATAATATAAATTTTTTGACGGTAAGATTTATTGGAAGCTTAATTGGTGAATTTGTCAAATTTATCAAAGTGAAAGGGCAACAAGCATTAAAATTAAAATTTTGAGATTTGCTCTTATACTCAAATTAATGAAATATCTTAAAAAATGGAGAAAAAGTTAAGAGCAAAGAAAGAGAGTGGTAAAACGAGAATAATCTGCATACTCGATAATGTTTGTACCAAATTTTTTTTTATATTTCATAGATGATAATGTGATTACTTATATAAGTAGCATGCTTGCCTTGATATTACGTGTAAAATCACGTATAAGTGTCGATGAAGGGAATGATGTATGAGTTTCGCAATTTAAAACATGCGAATGATGACTAAGTATATATTGAAAAGTAATTAACAAATAAGTAAAAGAAGAGAGCTTTTTCTATTATATCCAATATTTTTCAAATAAAACGCCTTAACTCTTTAATTTTGTTTTTAAATGTTTCAAAATAAATGAAATCATTTTTTTTATATATTTTTAATATTTTTATTTTTGTAACTCATTCTTGTATTTCACCATAAAAAGCTTTCAGGTTTTTTGGCTAGTAAAATTTTGAGTAAAAAATAAAAATAATATAATTGTAAATACGAAAATTAAGTAAACTATATTATTAAAAAAATTAACTAAGTCAAATGACATATATACTAAATAGATTTTTTAAAGTTACAGATTTGAGAGAATTTAGAAACCTAATGTTTTCCTCATGCGAATTAAGTAGATAGAGGTTGGAAAGATTAAAAGTAGATTAAAAACTAAATATATATATATAATAAACTCTAATTTTAGAGAAAATTATCAAACTTTTTTATTTTAAACAAATTTATATATTTTAATTCTAGGAAATATCAAATAGAATATTCAAGTTTGAGATGGAAAGTGTAACTCAAAGATCTTTATAGCTAAGATATTGCTTGTAATTTCTTTAGAAGATATTGGTTCCAAGTGCTCATGATTTGATTAATTCTTACTTTTTCTTTGTCCTTTGGGTATATTTAAACAAAACCAAGAGTAATATGAAGGGTCCAAACTTTAAATTCTGATCATCACTTAAGATAATCACTAAATTAAACAAATCTACCTTGATATTATATAATTTTAATTCATTTCAAATTGTTATAATTTTCACAATAATAATAAATTTTTAGCTTCTTCATGATCAAAAAATTTTTTTTTCAAGCTATAATTCATATAGAATTACTTAACTTAAAGGAACACAATTATTTTTTGAAAATTAAAGGAGCATAATTTTATTTGTGAGGGATTATAAAATATATTTTATGGCTTAGATAAAAGATTTTTTTTTTCTCTAGTATCAACAAATATTTTGACAACAGTCCAACACCATCATATGTATTATTACCATGTTTCCATCCATTTTGTGGTGGGAAGCAAGAATCTTATACTCCAAACTCTCCAATCTTGAACATCTGCCCCTTGCTTTGAATTTTATATATATATATGAAATTTAGTATAAGATGATTAAAATCAGTCAACTATTTAATTTTTTTTTTGTATTTAAAATTGTCATAATTTGAATTTTGAATAAATAAATGAGTTCAATATTCTATTAATAGTTTATGCGAATAATTAAACCTATTTGTATGCACATGAGGAAAAAATAAGCATTTGATATACCAAAATAAAACAATATTCAAAACACTAATAATCTCTTAGATCAGTTAACATGTTATTAGAGTTGACACTTAAAAATTGTAAGTTTGAAAGAACTTAAGCACATAATATTTTTTCAATCAGATATATAGTAGGGTAGGAAATTTAAGGGAAATTTAAGAGTAAATTAGAAAATTCAAACAAAAAAATAAAAAACAGCATCCAAATTATATGCAAAACGTAATTAGGCTTATTGGTGAATCTCATGCTTGTTTAAATTTCCTTTTGAAAGGGCTAAAAATAATAATATAAAAGAGGGTCAACTTTTAAAGCATAAAGATTAGTGAATCTCATAGTTCTTTATATAGATATCATTCCCTTTCTCTTGATCGGTTCTTATTTGGGGTTAATTAAAGCAATTTGCAAAGAATAAAATAATACGGTTCAAGTTTAATTCATTTATTTCATATAAATTATACTTAAAAAGTAACATTTAATATGTTTAAAATTTAAATTCTTAAAATCGTACCAAAACCGTTAAAATAAAATAATACATAATCTTCAAAAATTAAGCATCAAACTTAATTTCACCCTACTACAATATTTTGCAAATTATTGTCCTTACATTATCGAACATGAATGAACATTGTCATCGCTGAAGAACGAAACGAAATTCTCCTCCGGTACATTGGAGGAAGTTGGAAAAGCTTGCACCACGTTTCGAACAAAGCCGGCGGGTGCCCTTTTGTCATAGGCACCAGAAACATAAGGATAATAAACTAGATGTTGAGGGATGTATGGCCAGAATTCTGCTGTCTTGCCAGTGCTTTTCACTCTCTTTAACACCTTGTTCGGATCAATGTAGCCACTTACTGTTACCTGGCTTTGTTTTCGATTTACTTCCACGGTTTTTACACCTATATATAGAGTCATGCATTAAGAAGAAAGTGGTAAGAACAAAAAATAATATGAATATGTTATTTGTAATATGATGATCAGTGCATAGAGACTAAATTTTTTTTTTTTTAACAAAGAAAGCCGCACTCCGATAGAAGAAGGGGTTGTAAGTGTTAGGTTTTGAACTTTAAATATGTTCGTTGACAGATGTCAAGAATTACTATATGAACTAATTGAGTTAAATTTTAAATTCTGAGATTATAATCTTGTAATCATCGATTGAACTTTAATCTGTAATAAAAAACGGAATAAATTGCAAAGAAAAGACAATTGAGCAATAAAACGAAGTCAAACCAAAAAAAGCTAGAATCAATGGCTCAAAATTTTTGTTGGGGATATTTGTTTTATTTTTCCCTTTCATTCCATGTGACCATGATTGCAGAAATTCTTATGTTACATATGTCATTTCAAAAGCTGCCTTTCTTTCAATTATATTGGCTATTATTTGATGATAAAGTTTTGTCTAAAGATGGTACTTCTTGTCTACTTTTAATGCAATTCGAAGGTCTCAAGTTCAAATCTGATTTTAATTATTAGTATAGCTCAAAAGATTCAATAATTTGTTCCTGGTTTTTGACGTTTGCCTGTAAAGGGTTTGTTTCTGGTTGAGCTTCAACGGAGAAAATATTAATGAAATTATAGAGGGAGGAAGAGCTTTATGTTATAGAACCTTTCATGGAGGAAACAGCATGTTTGACTCTTCTTTCACAGCCATCACAGTCCATTTTAACTTTGATTTCAACTGTCTGAGCAAGAAAAACACATACCATCTTGAGTATTAAGGTTAGCAAAAATGCAGAATCACTAGAAAAGAAAACAAGAGTTGTCTATCTAATTTTTTTCTTTAATTGTTCATTGCAAACACAGAGCATGAAGCAAAGAAGGGAATCGAAAAAGTACTAAAGAGAAACAAGCTCTTTTCTGTGCCTATGCTGTTACCTGCATTGGTTTGCGTTTGCTTCTTGTGCTGGTAAAGGAGCAAAAGTTTGAAATATAATCAAGAGCCCCCATTTTTTTGCTTCTTTTTCTTGCTGAAAGCCAACAGAAGACAGAACACAACTGACAACAGAAGAGACAGAAAAAGAGAAGGGAAAGAATGCAACTATGATATATAATTGGACTATGAGACTTGCTATATATTTATACAGACAGGAAATTGTTACATGATAGCTAGTAGATATACAGTTGTTTGTTGGAATTAAAGAGAAGATATGTGAGAAGCCAAAGCTTAGCCTAACCGGCTCTTGTATTCACTTTTAAAAGGTGATATCTAATAGGTCAAAGTCTTAATTTTTAACCTATAAAATTTTTAAAAAATAAACAATTGTGTGTTGAATTCAAAATTTAATTATTTAATTTATAATCAATTTTAAAAGATAATATCTCACAAATTTAGAATTTAAAGTTGAGTTTCTGCAACCTTCTATACTACTTTCAGCTTGCAACCTCTTTATTAGAAAAACATATGTGAACTTTAAAAAGGTAGGGTATAGAAAAAAAATTAGAAAGGTATGCCCATAAACCATGTTTATGTGCCTAAAAATCAAGAAGGTGGGGAACACTGCTTTTGGCTATGCTCAATTTTTTTTTTGGGTGAGCCGATGGCTTTGAATTTTGTTCAATGAGTGTTGCGTTTGCTTTCCCTTAATTTATTACTAAAATAGTCACAATAATGGCTTCAATTTGTTGATTCTTCCATTTGTCTTTTGGGTTTATTCTTGCTATGATTGTCCTAAATCATTGTTGGATGAAATTGCCATTGACCATCGTCCTCATTGGACAAGTAACAAATCTAACACTTCAGAGAAGAGTTCAAATGCATTCCAAAAGGATTATTCTCTTTTAACTCATGACAAAATCAATACCTTAAAAAAGGTCCAAGCTCAAGTATTCAAGATTAACATCAAGCAAAAGATTACAGATTAAAGCCTAAACCTACCAACACTTACCATCAAGGGTGGATAAATTTATAAATTGAATCAATCCCTCGCTAGTTTTTAGATTAAAATCTATCTATACCTTTATTACCAAGAAGACGAAAATTAATTGTTACATCTAAAAAATCACCTTTAAAACTTTAAAGAAGCTAAGTGTTGTCATTTTTAAAATTTAATATCTGGTATGATTTTAATTATGTGTTTTTTATTGTGTTTTGTGTTGGATTTAACGTCAAGCTTTAATAGAGAGAGTCTATGACACTTTAGTTTCATATTTAGATGTTTCAAGGATTTGTTATGATATATAAGTTGATATTTGTAAGGTTTTTTTTATAGGATAAAATTGTGAGATTTTCAGATCAAATTAGATAATATTTCACAGGTTGAGTGCATGTCTCTACAACTAATTTTTATTATAATCTCAATTTTAAATCATATCACTTTCATATTTTTTTTTATTTCATATTTTTTAAAATCTAAATAAGCTAAATACTATACGATAAGAGTCACTTTTAAAATTTTAATGTCTGGTATAACTTTAATTCTGTGGTTATATATTTATTTTATATTGATTTGACTGGGACGTCAAGTTTTAATAGAGGGAGTTTATAACATCTAAATTTCATATTTGGATATTATAAGCATCTAGTATAATATATAAGTTGAGATTTAAACTATACTTATGAGATTTTTTTTGTAGAACAAAATTATGAGATCTTTGAATTAAAATGGATAATACCTTATAAGTTGAGTATGGATTTTCGTAATTTATTTTTATCGTAATTTCAATTTTAAATCGTATTATTTTTCTAAATTTTTTTTATATTGTATTCATATCATATTACTATAATATATTTTAAATTATCTTTGAGAGAAGAATCACCACATGTTATGTGAAAAGAGTTGAAACCAAAAGAAATTTAGTTAGAGACTACCCTAGTTTTTATTAGGTAGTTGAAACGAATGCAAGTGCAGCTGTATGCAAAATTCCAAACATATTTGTGCTAGTCAAAATTCGAAAAGAATAAACAATTTAGTGACACTATTTGCGTAAACCATCTTTGTTGGGCTCCAATAATTTGATTATAGCCCCAAAAAAAAAGTGAAAAAGAAGTTGCTCTTTCATAGATGCCCTGCCTAGAACAGAGAATCATTGACAACAACTCTGTTTCTTCACCATCAAGTGGAATTCACTTTTTTTTTTTTTTTCTTTTAAAGTTGCGTTGAGAAATGAGCATTTGAATGTGCCCTTAGTCTCAGAGGGATATCATGCCATGTGGTGATAATTGTATATATTGCATATTCCTTGCTTTCTCATCTTCATTCTAAATTTCATAAAGCATGAACTTTATGCACTTACCATAGCTTAGTGGCAGTTGGCAAATGCTTTAATTTGGTGAGATGCTTGAGACATCACAGGAGGGGGAGAAGGAACAGATATATAGCATAAGCCATTTGATTGTTGAAAGCAAATCATATAACTTGAACATGCAACAGAACAAACATCGGATTGAATTGATTGTTCAAAAGAAAAAATATATTTTCCTCTAACAATTGCTAAAAGAGCCAAATGATTCAATTTTCCAATGAAGTTGTTCATTCAAACTTAATGCAATCCAAGCTATATGACAAATACAGTAACAAGAAGGTTAACAAGAAGGTTATCTTGCAATCAGATAACCAAAGTTTATATGTTCCTAAACCTTAAGTCAAGAATTTAACATGCAAGACAAAAAAAAATGATGATCCTGATTGGACCATACACACCTAGACAAAACTGAGATTGTTTTAGCGTCTTATGTTTTGAACAACTTTGCCTGGATGACAGAGACATGGAATCTGGATAGTCTGCAAAACCAGAACATTAGAACTGTCAGATACAACATTCTCCAGTAGCTTAAATGCAAAGCATGAACAACATTCCTACCATTCAAGTCTCCCAAGCTTCTAACTATGATTAAACCTGTCGTTTCATTAGATGTAAATAACTAGAAATGAAGATGATAATAATTTGGTATCTTGGCAAATGCAATTTGTTGGCCCCCAAGACTGAAGTAAAGAACAATAGCTACATTGTCAATGGCACCTTGTTCTTTGTCAAATAGTATCATGCCCTAGAAACATCAAGTCTTTTATGATGTACAATGATATGCTATAACATTGACAATTAAAGGTAATTCTCTTAGATGAACATCCAAAACAAAATCCCAAGCAATTAATCTCAGTCATTATAAGGGGAGTTACAGAAGTATCATCTAAGATGTGCTTCATGAAGTCTGATAAGTCATGAAATTATGCACCAAGCTGAGGTAACTTGTTCCTCAATCGTCACAGCACATAACCAAAAAAATCACTTCATTGAAAAACTAGATTTCGAATTTGCGTCATAGTACCATTTTTTGCTCTTGGTGCTGATCATGGTGATAGGATGCACAACTAGTGAAATATAATTTCCAGGTTAACACTTCAAAAAGTTGCACATGATCTGTCCAAACAAAGAGGGGGCAATATAAGACAAAAATAAATTTGACATTGCATAAAAATGTGAATGTATCTCAATATCTCAAACAAAAAAAATAAGAACTTACTAAAAGTTTTTCAATCTAAACCTCACAGGAAATTTTACACTGCCACTCTATTTAAAATGACTCCTCTGATATAGTGTCTTGAGGTTTTGACAATGTAAACCATTCCAAAAGGCACATGCAGTTATCACCTTCTTACCGGGAAGTTGAACCTCCAATACCTGCTTCAATCAACAAAGTTTCAGGACCAGCATACCAGACAAACCAAAAAAACTAAAAAAGAGCATTTGGTTGTGGGAATTGCAAAAGAGTTCCGGGTAGCTAGTCTTTTACAGGGTGAGCTTGTGGTTGATCCTCAACCTTTGATTAGCAGCTTGTCCACCGCAGCCACTTGCATCAGCTGCACCTCCACTGTAACCACCGGCACCACCACCATTTTGGGCCATGTTTGTGTCCGGCATATACTAAAATAAAGGACTAAAGAAGCAACAATAGAGGCAAGGTTTTACGAAGAATGGAAAGCTAAAAGAGATTTCAATGGCAGTATTATACCAAGCATCACATGCATGTTTTATTCATGTTTTCTTAAACACAATATCTTATCAAAATTATTCATCCACCTTGCTTGAAGGATTTATTTGATTTAGATGGTGAAAATTTTAATGGACGAAATGGATTAAAATTGGATGGTTTCATCATAAAAGCAGTGCAATAAACTTTTGCTGCATATTTGACTGGAAACTTTTGAAGCAAAGGAAAAATAAAAATAAAAAAGACAATTAGTTTCACAAATTCAAAAATTAAATAAAAAGAGTTCCTTAATTTTTTTTTTCCATTGGTCTCCTCAATATTTCTCGCACATAGCAGAACATGAACTCTTCTTCTGCTAGCAATGAACCAGAAAGTGTAGAACCAAGGAATCAATTTGAAGACAAGATGGACTCTTGATCTATAATCAATGTCTAGCTCTATTTGCAGCAAATAAAGAAGTCAGTTACTCGACCATCTTCCCCAGAAAAAGGCTACATGAACCTGTGAACATTGCTTTGGTATAAGATTGTGTAACATACACACCTGGTCATAGGGCTAAAACAGTAGAAAAGTGGTCATGTAAATGAAATATTGGTGCAAGGTTTGATAAATTATATTAGTAGAAAGCATATCGATGCCCGATATAATAATAACAAAAATTAAAAAAAAAAAAAATACAACCCTTGCTAGACATAAATGACAATTGCTACAATTTGAGTTAAAAGTTTATAAGCCACGAGGGTCTCCGGATGTTGTAGGGAATTCGACCAGGAAACAGGCGGAGTTCCATCTTGAGCTGCCTGGAAATGCAAGAGAAACAACTGGGAACCAGAAGAAACCCTAATGAAGTTGGGCTATCAACCAGTTTTGGAGTGCTCTTTATGAAGGATTGTAATCTAAGGCTACTTCCCTCGGTCGGAGCTTTTGCAATTAGTTCATAGAAGAAACCTCTCTCCATTGAGGGTCCAATCCGGCTCAAAGTGATTACATTTCCCAAAGTTTCAACCTTATTGTTGAGAATAAATAAAGAACCGTCTGTCTCCTCTCGAAGAATAAGTAAATTTTCATCAACTCCTAAGGTAATCGGTACAGAGCAGTCATAATGGCAACGCATCGCAGAATTCTTGTGTTCATTACCAATGTGTTCGTATAACTGCTTTGATGTTCCCTCAAAGTTGCAATCAGGAAGGGGGCATAAACATGGCGTAAAAGGACATGTCTTCTCATGTTTCTGTTTCATACTATAACTGAATGTTTCTCTGCACCCATACTTTGTGTGTTGACATGACACTTTGACAGATTCCAGAACTTTCTCAATGGCCCTGCAGCGACTACAGCCAATAGGACTAGCACAGGATCCACATTTATTCTTAATTTTGATGCAACAGGTAGAGCAAGCTATATGCCCATTATCACACTGAATTGCCAATCAAGCACATAAAAATTTATCACGATCCATTTAATATTTTAAAGATTGAATAATATACTAGAAAAATATGGAAACGTATCAGATTCCAACTTCATGGATGCCATCAATGATATGCTTTGATAAGACAATGCCAAATCCATTCACCAAAACATCCTCAAGCTCAAAAGAAAAAAATGAAAATGTGCCTTCAATCAACTATTACATAATAAACCATGCAAAACTTTTAAAAATTAGTCCCAATATTAAACATCAAATATTGGCCATTAAGAGATTTCCACAAAAAGCTAATTGTTAAATATTATTTAATAAGTTATGATTTTTCTTTATCCTAACAAATTCCAGACTGATTTGGTATAAATATATCACAGGGGCATGTGAAAGAGTTTTTAAAGTCTATACATATATGTCCGAGTATGACCAACACTTTTTAAAAAACTCACAAACCGCTTCCCCATCATCTTACACATCTATAAAACACTTTTGCAGAAGCCAGAATGTGTACATGGCTAAAGATAGATAGAAATGGCCTATTTTTCCGTTCTTCCTTATGCTTGCCTCTTTCTAAAAACTCAAAAATCCTGACACTTCTCCTAGATGCAACTAAGATCTCACCATTGGTTTAAAAGTTGCAAGTCATCTTCATTACAAAAAGGTTCCCAAGCAACCTCCCAAATATCAGGGAGCTAAAACTCTACAAATAAACTTTTAAAACCTCTTAATCTTCATGTTTCCCTTTTCAGTAGGTGCCACATACAGGCCTAAACAATAGTATCTCTTAGGAGTCCTAACAAGCCCTTGAAGCAGGACAAAGAAAAAAGTATGCAGTAAATAAGAAAATCTATGTTGAAAGAGAGATAGCAGGATTTATGACTAAAGACAAAACTATGTAGAAAATTTATCATGTTAAAACTTATATACTATCTTAACAAATCTGGACCTGCTAATCTTGCATCAACCAAAAACCGTGTAATGCATCATCCACATAGATGATGAATTTCAAAAAAGCAATTAGATTTGCCTCGCAAAAATCATCTCACTTATGTCCCATTACAAATTCATATGGAGAAAACAAAGTCTGCAAATTATGCATCATTCTCATCATTATATCTATCAACTTAAAAACCATCCTCCTCATCACTGAGTACCTCTTCAACATCCATATGCTTCTTTTCAGTAGTATACAAATACGAACAGACCATAACCTCTCAACTCTAGTACCCATTATAGAATATAAGCAGATTCTCTAAATCACAGAACCTTGTCTTCACCCCAAAAGTATGAAATCAATAATACTAACTAATAACCCCAAAAGCAAAAATAATCTAAGCTAGTTTTCCAAACATAATCCCAAATAAAAAACAAAGCTTTTCACCAATAACTAGTCTTACTGAATTCGTACCATATACCTAGATCAGACCAAGTATAAAATCTTCAGAGACATAAATATAAAGAAAAAAGAAATTGAAGAAAAACCCAAATTGTAAATCAAGAAAACAAGAAATATAATATAATTTGAAAACCATCCAGACTTTGAATAGGTTTCCCCAACAAACAAGGATCTATGTGCCAAAATCACATTAAACAAAATCTGAAACCTTTTCACACATAAATTAAAACCCAAATCCAAAATCCAATCCTTTCAACATCAAATTCAGAAACTAACCAAAATCTGAACGTTTTTCAGCCAACAAGCAAAAACCCATATCCAAATTTCAAAGCCTTTAAGCGATAACCAATAAATAAAGACCAACCTGAAAAACTGGGATCGTCAAGGCCTCACAGCAAATAGAACAATCAAGAACTTGAGGGTCAGTTAAGGTAATAGAAATAGAGCCATCGCTAGCAGTCTGAGGGCTCATGGTTCCTTGCTCAGCTCCACTTCCTTCTGATTCTTCTGATTCTCCCTCTGAAACTTCGTCTCCTTCTGATTCTTCCTCTTCCTGCTCTTGCTCTGATTCTTCTTGACCAAAGCCTTCCACAGCCACAATACCCTCGAACCTTTGACGCTTAGGGACTCGGTTGCTTGGCCCTTCTTCTTCGATCCCGACAGTGAACTTGGCCATTCTCTTCTGTGTCTCTACTTTCAACTTTTTATTGTTGTTTTTTTGGTAAATATACTTTCTTTTTATTTTATGTTGTTTATTAGTCTTTTCGTTTTTCTTTTTCATTTTTTATTACTTTGTTAAGCATAATTTTGTTAAATTTTCGATTAAAATTATTATTTTGGGGTTTTAAATTTCATTAGTAGACAAAATATAAATGCTTATTTAATAATAATTTAATTAAATTTTATAAAAATTTTATAAAAAATATTGGTTTTCAATAAAAAATTATGAATATTAAAATTATTCGTTATATCAAAAAATCTCTTTATATGATAACGATAAAAAAATAAAAGTGATATTATTTAAAATTTTGATAAATATTTATATGATTTTAATAAAAATAAAAAGTATATTTTATTTTTGGTTTATTCACATGTTTTAGGATTAGATAGTTTTTCGTATTTTTATAAATGTTTTATATATAACAAATATAAGAATCATTGGCTCTAATTTACCAAATTTAAAACGACACCGTTTGCAGCATCCTAAACTCCTCCAAACATCCCAAAATATCCGACCTGTTACTTCTGCACTTCCGTTCCCACTACTTTCCCATCCAAGGCAATCGACAGACAGAAACGTAAGACGAAAACAGAGAAGAAAAAAAAGAAAATGGAGATGAGTTTAATCCACATAGCCAGACCATCTCCATGTCTTGTTAACAAACAGTTTCTGTTTCCAAATAAAAGAAGAGAAAGAACCATTAGTGTTAAGGCTTTAAAGAGTTCATATCCGAAAAGAGCAACCTTATCCAGCAACTGGGATGTCTCTGATTTATCTGCTGTTACTCCAGCTGCAGCTCCATCTTGGTTTCCTAGATTTGAAGACCTTGATACTACCAACATGCTTCTTCGTCAAAGGATTATCTTTTTGGGTTCTCAGGTTCTTGTTTTTTATTGCTTTATAAGTCAATTTGGAAAGTGGGTTTCTCTTTTAATTACAAGTACTCGAATTTTTTAGCTTATATTTCTATTGGGAAAGTGGGTTTTTTGTTTTAAAGGGTTTAGGATTTTCAATCGTGTTTGCATTTATTGGTTCTGGCATTTCACTCTCTTTTGCTGTTTCTAGAATTACTGGTTTTTTAGTTTTATAATTCAATTTTGAAAGTGGTTTGTTTATTAGTGTCTATTTGTGTTTTTGTATTCTTTTTATGAAAGATAGAGGAAGTGTGATTATCTCTCTTCAGCATTGGTGTGTCATAGGTTGAAATTTTTCAGATGGGTTTTGCATGTATGTTTGGGGAAATTTTTTGTTTTATGGATTTTGAATATAAAGGTCTTGTTAATTGTTTTGGTTGAGTTTTGAAGTTTCTCAGGTTTGAATCTGTTTGAGATTTCATTGATGTTGAGCAGGTGGATGACATGACAGCAGATCTGATCATAAGTCAGCTGTTACTTCTGGATGCTGAAGACTCCGAGAAAGACATAAAATTGTTCATCAATTCACCTGGTGGCTCTGTGACTGCTGGTATGTCTTTAGGTTTTCTTCCATATGCTGGACTCCCTGCTTCCCCACTCTTGATCTTATCTTATTCATAAGCATCAGAATGGGCTTTTGAATTGAATAAACTGTTTCAAAATATTTTGCGATTAGGGTTTTAGAGTATTGGTCGTGATGTATGATAAGGCAAGCTCCTAAAGTTCCTAGCTTGGTTAGCTTCAAGGTAGTCTTATGGTTTGTCAGTGGCCCTGAAAGGTATTGGTTGAAACAACAAACAGCTAAGAAATCAAGTGACTGAAAGCAAGTTTACCATAAGAAAGGTTGAGTACACTACTAAATTAATTTGTTCTTGCTGATTTTTATTTAGAAACCAGTGTTAAATGTTGGGTCAAGCTAATTTAAATGATCCTTAGGTTTTCTAATAGGCACAATTTTGCTTGCAATTTGTTTACCCTATTTTGGTTGTTCTTTCGTGCTTTGTTAATGGCTCAAGTGATGGATGAGTAAAATATTTTACAAAATATTTTTCATGAATATTTTTATTGGATAAACAAGCAAACAGCTTACCGAAAGCATTGCAAAATGTGAGCTTCATTTCCTCACCTTCATACTATGCAGATAGTTTGGTAAATAGATCAGATCTTATCACTAACTTCATCAATTGGTAATTGTTCTTATATACCCTTTGGCATCTGATTTAGCAAACCATTAGTACGTTTAGGACTTGTGGAACTAGCTGAAATGTTGGATTGGAAATACAGAAGAATTAATTTCTGTCTGCTTATGATGCAACCAAAAGGGTAAAATAGAGTTCGCAAATTATAAGTGTGGTGGCAATGTGCTTTTGTTTTAATGTCAGGATTTTATAATGTTATTATGCCCTAAGCTACATGGGCCTTTTTGTTTAGCATTTGGAACTTCAATTTTGTGGTAATATTTTACTAAAGATAATAATAAAAGAGACTGTGGTATATAAGTCTATGGAGCTTTATCATTTCCAAGGTGTGAGAATGGAGACTGTTTTAGTTAGCATTGAGGAGTTGTGTTAGTTAGCATTGAGTGTTACATGCAAAATAATCTGGGAGGTGACCTCTTTAAATTTGCATCTTGGTGGTTTTGAATGTAGCAGTTCAAAAAATAAATGTGCTAGAATTACTTGATCAGTTGCAAGAAAGGATCCACACAGGTGATGCCAATATTTTATGTGCTTGTGAGAGTTGAGTATATCTAAGTAGCTTGTGTTCACCCTTCTGATTATGTTAACCTTCCCTCTTTGACTGATACATGTAGGACTGGGAATATATGACGCGATGAAGATGTGCAAAGCAGATGTTTCAACAATTTGCCTGGGGCTTGCTGCATCAATGGGTGCATTCCTCCTGGCTGCTGGTACGAAAGGGAAGAGGTTTTGCATGCCCAATTCAAGAGTGCTGATTCATCAACCAATTGGAAGTTTTGGAGGCACAGTAAGTGTGTGATGCTCTGCTTACTTTTATGAACATCGATCATCAGAGATAAGAATGATACATCTTCGTTTCAGGGGCTTTTCGGCACTATTAACTTTATTGTTTGTTTTCATTATTAAAAATGACATGCTTGTGTTCAAAAGTTTCAACCTGAAAATTTGATTTAATCATTGTTTGTTTTCATTATTAAACTAGACATGCTATCATTCCGATTTGGACCTGCAATTTTCTTTGCTTAATCTGAATTGAAATTGTAACTTGTGTGGATATTCTAGCGTGCATCAAATCTGAATTCTTCTTCTATTTGCTTCAGTTAAGATATTAATACATGAAGGGGACAGAGGTAAAAGTGGAAGGAAAATGGATGTAGCTTAAATCTACAAGAGATTTGATTGCATTATTTTCGCCAGAGTTGATCATGATAAACCTTGAAGTCTATATGTAACTATGCCAACTTTGACTGCTTTCTCATATTGCAATATGGATTTTTTTTTCTGCTAATTCTTTGTTGTTTACTTTACATGCAAATATGCCCAAGAAGAATGCTATATGATGAGCAGAAAGGGTGATTAGTTGGTGTGTTTTTCTGTCATATATTAATGTAGGTGGACATTTTTTAATGCATCTTTTGCAATTTTTTGAAAGCAACTTTCTCTTTTGTCCGATTTACATGCTGATATGCTGAAGAAGAATGTTATATGATGATTAGAGAGGCTGATCATTACTTACGTATTTCATGGTATATAAATGTAGATTGATTTTCTTAATGTGTCTGTGGCTATTATTTGGTAGCAATTTTTTCTTATTGTTCAAGTGTAACTTTCTTGCAAGATAAAATTATGTTGACCATTGGAAAAATGGAGTTTTTAAATGTCAAAAGTTGGAGCTCAGTAGAAAATTTTCTACTTGATAGAACAGGTCTAACTCTGCTAGTAATTTGTCTGGCACTTATTCTGGATCATTTTAAGATTTATGTTACTTTAGAAGGGTACAAATGACCGTCGCTAGTTAGTTTCTGGTGGTTTCTATTATTCACACCAGACTGTTTTGCATGTGATTCCAGACATCAGAGGTGGGCATACGAGTAAGAGAAATGATGTACCATAAGATTAAGCTGAGAAAGACATTTTCAAGAGTTACAGGAAAGCCTGAAGAACAGGTTGGATGCATATCAATATGCCTTCCAACATTCTTTTATCGTTTATTTTTTCTTGCACTTTGCATTTGTCTTCCTTTTTGAATTGTCTTATTTTTACCATCCTTTATTTTGCAGATCGAAAAAGATACAGAACGGGATACTTTCATGAATCCTTGGGAAGCTAAGGAATATGGGTTAGTTGATGGAGTTATAGATGATGGCAAGCCAGGGTTAGTCGCTCCTACTGCTGATGCAATACCTCCGCCCAAAACCGAGGTGTGGTATTTGTGGAAAATCGCAGAGAGCGGTAATTACACGAATTTGCCTTCAGAACATAAACTGTTAGAGAGTGGAAATACAGGAGATCAAGGAAGTGATGGAGGAACAGACGCAGAGCAGGAAAAGAGAGAACCTGCTCCTTAATGAGATTTTAGAGTTATCTTAACTGGTTTGTGTGCCCATGCTATAGGTCATTTTCTGTTGTTTCTCTCACCAAGCTTTTATCTTTGTAAGATTGTAACAAAATTTTTAAAAATCAAAATTAAAATCAGCTTGAGATTGCATTAGTGCACACAGTCATGATTGTAGCATTGGCATAATGTAAAGTGTGAGATCATCTTTGTGCAGCGGCTATAGATGATGGAACATTGCTTTTGTTTTGGGGCATTGGTTCAGTTTGAACAGCTATTACCATTAAGTAAATCTGCCTGATTGTAATCACTTACTACTGCTCCCACTGCCACTCCCGCTACACTTCCACTGCTACTGCTTGAGCTTGAAGTCTGTTCTTCTTTCCCTTCTGCGTTCACCTGAGCTCTAGGAGCTTCTGCTGCATTACGTCCCACTTTATGTTCTTCATCATCACTTACATCTACATCAGCAATCACATCATCCGTGTCAGCTTGATGTGGTAAGTGGACATCGAAACCAATACCTGTGGAAACCTTTTCAGAGACATTATCATCATCGTCTTCATCATCATCATTGACTATATTCACATGTTCATCTGATTCATAATTTTTAGGATCTGGTGACGCAGTTGGTTGATTAGGAATTGAAGATTGGTACACTGCATTGTTCTCCTTTCTAGATTCTGCAACATGTGGCAGTGAAGTGAGAGTCTGCCATGGTATAACCAATTGACTAAAAACAACAAATTCTTAAAAGAAAAAAGTGGTTAATGTTTCTGCAAAAGTTCAGCCACCTGGATTCTGACAATGAGTAAAGATAATTGTCTTTTTTTCTAGTTTGAACCTAAATCTCACCTCTGCTCTCAAAGTCACCTGTGTCAATGCGTTCCACCTGAAGTTGTACAACCATCATTAACAGCAGTAATGACTAATTTATTAAAATTTAAAACGGTAGTAGTTAAAAACAGGCTGCCAAAACACAGTTTCAACAATGATTATAGACAATTTGTAGTCCTTTGCTTTCACTCATAGCAACAGATGCATAAGATTGCAGGAGTCAAGTAAACTTACTGGCAATAGCAGAACTGGGCCTCTGTTCAAAGACTCAGGCTTCACTCCTTTACCAAGTGGACGAGAATAAGACTTTGCAGCAGGGCCAGCTGAAGGAGCCATGGCAGTGGTAGCTGCAGCTGTGGACTCACCAGGCTGCCGTACATGCCTCAACCAGTTCACAGCTCGGTGTAACCGCTCTAACCGAAACTTCTCACCATCAAAGAACAAACTGCATCACTACCACTAACACCCTCAAATGTAACCTTGGGTTTTCCATGTTGGTTGTTTTCAAATTCTACCTCAACCCGGTTATCCTTAGCCTTGTGGAACAACCTTGGTTGGTTCTTTTCAATTGATGCTGGCTTAAATTCATCTGGAACAAAATCAAGCAAAGCATGTAAAACTTATATTTCAATTTCAACTCCATTTTCTTTTATAAAGAAAATTATACTTTATTGAATATTCAGAACACATCAACAAGTTAATTGACAGCGTTAGCTTCATGTACTAAAGTAGATAATGAACAAGAGTTAAAGTACTAAATTGATAATTTTATTTTTTTAAGTATTAAACTGATAAAAAGTGTATAATACAAAAATCATTTATATATATATATATATATATTTCTTTTATAATGAAAATTGAACTCGAATGATTTTAATTTTGGATATTCAATTTCAAAATTCATACTTTCTATTTTTTTTTCTAAATAGTTTCAATCAAATTAATTGAAAAGAAAAACAGACATACTAATTGAAGAGAAATTATATGATAAGTTAAAAATTGACAAGGATGATAGAACCATCAAGGAAGACAATATGGGGTTGAAAAGGAATTTTAATACTGACAAGGATACTAGCAAGGGCTAAAGAAACTGGCAGTAAAGATGATGCAAAGGAGTTGAGAATAACGTTATTTGTGCAAGCTGTTAAGTCAATGATTGATCAGTTATTGTAAGTATATGTGTAAGAATAGTAGTTAATAAAACAATAATTGTTGGGTTGTAATTCACGAATTATGAGTACAACTATTATGTATATGCACATTTTCAATAGGAATGAAAAACCACAACTTGCTTGCTTTCATATCTCTCTTTTTGGTCCTAACCTTATTCCCTTCTAGTTAATTTCTTTCTTTTTCTTCTTCAGATTAATCTGTGGTTAATTCAATAGCATTATTATATTACACAATTGGTATCAGAGCCTATTAGATCCACCTTCAATCTGAGACAACCTAAGAAACAGCAAACCATGGACGATGGAGCGAGCTTGTAGTTCCAAGTGATACAGGATAGCTTGACGCTCTAATGACTGTTGACTTAATAGTTCCAAGGTGGTGAGAAGAATAAAGGAAGCTTATTGAGTCATAGTTTGCTAAGAATCGAGAACATATAAGCCAAGTGCTTGAACTGTTGGATCCAAGAAAGGCAATTGAAACTTGACCAGAATGGTGACCAACAGCCAACCAACTCCTATTTCTCATTCTATAAAGTAGGTAAGACACCTGTTGAAATTACAGTAATAGATGATCATGAAAAATATGCTTATAAGCCTAGTGGAGTAGGACTTTTAGCTAGTAAACAACATGAAATCAATGACAGTACCTTTCAATTTAATACCAAATAGTTTAAAAATGCTAATTTCATTGCTGGTAATAGTTCTTCAACTGTTACGAATACATTTGCACCTAGACCTAAGATTGAGTTGTCAGTCTTAGATGGAAGCAACCATAGGGGTTAGCTTAAAAAATACCAAAAATACTTTGCCATATGATCACCAAAAATTGGAGAGAGCTGCTATGTACGTAGTAGGAAAGATTGAGGCATGGTTTGATGGATACCTTATGCAAAAGGAAAAGGTGACATGACCAGAGTTTACAAATGACTTGTGTCAAAGATTCTGTTACAAAACCTGTTTTGACATAATAGAAGAGTTCAACAAACTGGCCCAAAAGACTAATGTGGATGAATATAAAAAAAGATTCGAAGAGTTAAGATTTTATATGTTGCAATATAACCCATACTTGACTGAAAGGCACTTTGTTTCTAGCTTTATAAGTGGACTAAAGATTGAGGGTACTTTGTTGCAATATAACCCATATGATCACCAGAAATTGGAAATAGATGCTATGTACTTAGCAAGAAAGGTTGAGGTGTGGTTTGATGCATACCTTATGCAAAAGGAAAGGGTGATATGACCAGAGTTTTCTAATGACTTGTGTCAAAGGTTCTGTTACAAAACCTGTTCTGACATAATAGAGAAGTTCAACAAGCTAGCCCAAAAGACTCCTATGGATGAATATCAAGAAAGATTCAAAGAGTTAAAACCTTATATGTTGCAATATAACCCATACTTGACTGAATGGTACTTTGTTTCTAGCTTTATAAGTGGACTCAAGGATGATCTCAAGCCTATAGAGTGAAGGCTAATGAACCTAGAACCCTTACTGCCACCTACAAACAAGCCAAACTGCATGATCTATCACTTGAATTTGAAAACAAGAGACACAGCAGACCACTTACCTCTAGTATTGGCCCTTATCCCAAGCCTATTCATACTCGACCAAAACCAAACCCATCAGCCAATTCCATACCAAACAAACAACAGCTTATTCAACAAAAAAGGCTACATAATATGTGTTTTAAGTGTGGCAAGACAACAACTTAATGCCATTACTGCTGATGAATCCAATAAGGAAAAGGACAACATGTAGGATGGTGATGGAGAACCAGAAGGAGTTGAGGAACAAGACAGTCCTAAAAACTTACAAATTTCCATCAATACTCTCATGAGCAATGTTGTGCACAACACTCTCAGGATTGAAGGAACGATAAAAGGGAAACCACTTTATATCCTTATCGATAATGGCAGCACTCATAGTTTTGTCACTCCTAAGTGGGCTCAAGAACAAGTGGAGCTGGAGCAGACTAATCCTTTAGCTATAACAATAGCTAATGGAGAGAGATTATATAGCAATGCCAGATGTAAGGAGTTAACCTGGTTAATACAAGTACATGTTTTCTCACATGATTTGAGACTACTGCCAATAAGGGTAGTGACATGGTTCTTGGGGTTAATTGGATGAAAAGATATAGTCCCTTGGTGTTCAATTTTAATAAGCTATCTATAACCTTTTAGAAAGAGGGCCAGCAAGTGACATTGAAAGGAAGCAAAAAGCAACCAGGTGTTAAGCTTATTACTAGTAAAAAATTGTAGAAAATGGCTAGTAAGGACCCAAACATAAATGGAGAGCTTTATGATCAGTGTAGATTGTATGGAAGAAGAGACTCCTCTTAAACTGCAAGAATTGCTCGCTGCTTATTGACATCTTTGAGGAACCAACAAGACTACCACTAGCTCGATCACATGATCATAGTATACCCTTCAATGAATGGGTCTCAACCTGTATATTTGAGGCCATATAGATTTCCTCACCACTAGAAAACTGAAGTGGAAAGACAGATTTCAGAAATGTTGTCTTCATCCATTATTTAGACTAGCAAGAGTCCATTTGCCTTGCCCTAAGTATAGGAAAGGAAGAAAGATGGTATATGGAGGCTATGTATTGACTACAAGCAACTTAATGCAATGATAGTTAAAAGACAAGTTTCCAATTCCATTAGTGGAAGACTTGTTATATGAATTGAAAGGTGTCAGGTACTTATCCAAGATTGATTTATGGTTAAAATATTGGCAAATTAGAGTCAAAGCTGAGGACATCCCTAAAACAGCCTTTAAGACTCATCATGGACACTATGAGTTCAAGGTAATGCCATTCAGACTTAGTAACACACATGTCACTTTTCAATCATTGATGAATAATGTGTTTTCTTAATATCTAAGAAAGTTTGTGTTAGTATTTTTGATGATATATTGGTTTATAACACTACTTTGAAGGAACATGTCTTACACTTGAAAGTTGTTTTTGAGGTGTTGAGGCTTCATCGCCTGTTGGCCAAGAAAAACAAATGTTTCATTGATCAAAAACAAGTTGACTATCTCAATCATATCATTTCAACAGATGGGGTTATAATTGATTCTGCCAAGGTAGAAGCAATGATGAATTGGACATTTCCTAAATGTCTGAAATCTCTAAGAGGGTTCGTTGGATTGATTGACTACTACAGAAAATTTGTTAAGGGAGATGGAGTGATAAGTAAGCCATTGACAGACATGTTGAAAAAAGATGTATTCCATTGGTCAAGTGCAGCAACAACAGCATTTCGACAACTTAAAGAAGCAATAAGCAATGCCCCAATACTTGCACTACCAGATTTTTCGAAGCCTTTCTACCTAGAAAGGGATACTTGCTCTTTAAGAATAGGAGCAGTTTTGTCACAAGAAGAAAGGCTTATTGCCTACTTGAGCAAGGCCTTGGATCCCTGACACATTGACTTGTCTATCTATGAAAATGAGTATCCATCTATTTTGATGGTAGTTTCTAAGTGGAGACAATACCTTGAAGGTGGATCATTTCTTTATCAAGACTAATGATGAGGCCCTGAAATGTCTCTTAGAGTAGAAGCTGACTATCACTATTCAAAAGAAAGGACTTACCAAGTTGTTGGGTTTGAATTACACTTTTCAATACAAGAAGGGTAAAACAAATATAGTGGCAGATGCTTTATGGAGACAATGTGAAGAAGAAGAAGGATTGCACGTTCTGCAGTCAACCACTCTTATGCCTAAATGGGTACTTGAAATGGAACAAAGTCATGAAAGAGATATAATTGCTCAAGAGAAGATCACAGCTCTTATTATAAATCCTGCAAGTGATCTTGACTACTCTTTCAATAATTGAATACTAAGGTACAAAGGCAGGGTTTACCTTTGAAGTCAAGTTGATAACTCAAGTATTGCAACTACTTCATGATTCACCTCAGGAAGGTCATTCAAGAATCCAAGCAACCTATTATAGACTCAAACTCTATTTTTATTAGCCTCAGAGTACAAGATTATGTACAACAGTGTGATATGTGACAAGGGAATAAAAGTGAGCATGTTGTTTATCTTGGGTTATTACAGCCGATTCCAATTCCTACATAGGAAGTGATCATCATGGACTTTGTGTTGTGGAAGGATTGCCTTAATCTCAGAAATTCAATTGCATTATAGTTATCATTGACAATTTTATCAGCACATTTCTTACCTTTTTCTGATCCCTACATTGCCTTAGCCACAAGCTAAACTTTATGGAGCTCCAAAGGCTGTTATATCATATAGGAATAAGCTTTTCACTAGTTCTGTATGACAGGAATTGATGAAGCTATTAGGTACTTCCTTACAGTTAAGCACAGCCTATCACCCAAAGTCAGATGGCCAATGAGGTTAAACCAATGCCTTGAGCAATACCTAAGACGCACCTTAAGCCGAAAACTTGGATTCAATGGCTACCTTTAGTTGAGTGGTGATACACTAGCTATCATACTCGCTTAAAAATGAGTTCCTTCTACTCTTTATATGGGTATCCTCCTTCTTGTTTTTCTTGAAATGTCAATAATAAAGCAAAATATCCATTGTGGAAGGCTTGCTTAAAGAACGACAAAATTTGAGTAAGCTACTAGTTGACCAGTTGGAAAAAACTCAACACAGGATGAAATTTTATACTAATAAAAACAAGATTGAAAGAGAGTTTTAGGTGGGGATATCATGTATTTGAAACTACAGTCTGACCGATTTAAAGCTTTCATCGTATTATGGTCCTAATCCTGTAGTTGTAAGGATTGGCAAAGTAGCTTATAAGTTGCAGTTATCAGAATTTTCAAAGTTGCATCATGTTTTTAAAGGTCGGCACTAAGGATGTCCCTAGTATAACCCTTCTTAAATGGGCGAGGATGGTCAACTATTAGCATATCCAGTTGTTGTGCTTGATAAGCAAATGGTGAAAAGTCAATCTGGTGGAATGGTCTAATCTGAGTCCAAAGAATGTTAAGATTTCTCGGTTCTTAAATCTCAATTTTCATCCTCAGGGAACAAGGATGTTCGCAAGAGGAAGATAATGTGATAAAGTTAGAAGTTGACAAAGATGATAGAGCCCATAATAACAACAACATGGGTTGAAAAGGAATTTTATCCTTTAATGAACAAGGATGTTCTCAAGATGAAGGTAATGTGATAAAGTTAGAAGTTCACAAAGATGATGAACAACAACATGGGGTTGAAAAAGAATTTTAATAATAGGAAACTGACTATTGATGATGAGAAGTTAAGAATGGTGTCATTTGGTGTAGGCTCTCAAGGCCATTATTGTAAGAATGTATGCAAGAATAGTAGTTACTAAAATAACAACTATCAAAATTATATTGTGGATCGTAATTCATAAATTATGAGTATAACTGTCATGTATATACACATTTTCATCAGGAATGAAAAACCACAATTTCTTTGCTCCCATATAATTTCTTTCCTCTGGTATCTCTCTTTTTTGGTTGTAACTTTCTCTTCTTTTGATCTATTTTTTCTTCACTTCTTCATATTAATCTCTGCTTAATTCAATAGCATCATTCATTACAAACTATTTTCATGATTTTTCCTTCATTTTCTGAGAAAAGAAACCAGGAGAAAATGTTTTCTATGAAACCAATAGAACCCAAAAAAATTAAGAGGGGGTTAATGAGAACTTACACGTAAAGTTTAAAATTTGAAAAAGGCTGGTGTTGGTCTTTGAAGGAAGACCCTAAACTTATATTCTACCATCGATTAGGGTTCGGAGCAGCGCTTGGTTCTTCTTTATTGCTGTTATTTGCCTTTTTTGAAATACTATAAGAAACTTTTTTGGAGAGACGAGAGGGAAAGAATTGGGTCAAAGAGGATAGTTTGGTCTTTTTGACATTAACCCGCGCGGGCAAGATTACACTTTTTATGAAGTCTCCATAGCTTTCCCTCAAAAACTTCTCCTGTGTCTCTCTAATGGCTGCATTTCGTCTCAGGTACTTACTCTCTTCCAGTTTTTCTTTTTATACGTTTTTATTATTATTTTTTCACGTAGACTGTGAATCAAGTATGATATTGTGCTTTTTTTTTAGAATGAGATCATTTCGTCATATTGGGATTTCGTTCAACTGCTTTATTATGATTTTTGATTAAGCTATCTAGGTTGGGTTTTGGGTGAGAATCTGAATTTCAGAAGTAATTGGTATAATGAGCATAGTATATAGTATCCGGTTTTGTTTTTTAACTCAATATTTTTATTGTTTAAAAGATATATAGTGATATTTCTCTCCAAATTGAGTTTTGTTGAGATCTGTAACTGTAAGTTCATTAAGTTTTGTTTGGTGTGAAAGAAAGAGTAGAAACAAAGGGGAAAATTCGTGTTTTGACATTGACCAAAATGTTTAAAGGTGATGAATGAGAGACTGAGGAGAAAGTAAAAGAACAAAGAACTAAAAGAAAGAAAAAAAAAAGGGCTTACTTTTCTGCTTCTAGCAGGGCATGTAGCATTGATATTTCCTGCTTGGGTTTATTTATATGCTATTTTTTGGTGCAATTATTTATATGTTATTTCTTTTTTTTCCTTATTGTGCAACACTTTTTACTCTGACAATCAGAATTACAAGCATTTTTTTTTTCTAATTGAAACTTAAAAAATTGTTGGATCTGTTTGTATTTTTATCTCAATTGCAGTTTGTAGCATTAAGGGACATGACACATGCCTTCTCTGCCTTCTCTTTTACAGTGTCTAAGACTTTGTAAGTATGTTTTACATTCTCTTTTCTATTTCTTGTAGTCCATTTTTGTCCTGCACAAGTTTTTTTTTTTTGGAGTATTTGAATTGATAGTTTAATTTTATCGAATACCCAACAATGTGAAACTTGTAACTTGAAAAAAAATAAATTTTATTGCTTTTCCAAAATGAAACAGTAAATAAAAACAACTGTTAAACTGTAGCCTAAACTTGCCTGTACATGAGATTTTTATCTTATTAGTACTTGTTGGATTCCAGAAATTTTGGAGCTTCGGCAGTGAGGGGGTCGTTGAATTTGGGATTGAATCTCTCCCGTGAGTGTTTGGTTAGGTCAATTAGAATGGAAAATGGTAATTGTACCCTGAAGGGTGCAAACAATGAATCTAGAGGTGCGTTGGTTGTCTTTGAAGGATTGGACCGTAGTGGGAAAACTTCACAATGTGGGAGGCTGCTTTCATATTTGGAGGGATTGGGGCATTCAGTTGAATTATGGAGATTCCCAGACAGATCTACCAGTGTTGGGCAGATGATATCTGCATATCTTACTAATAAATCGCAGTTGGATGACCATACGATCCATCTCCTTTTCAGTGCAAATCGGTGGGACAAGAGGTCTGTTTTTTGAACTTATGCATTGCACTACAACAATGTTTGCTGGTGGGATATTACATGTACTATTTGTTCTAGTGATTGTTTTCTAGCTAAATGATCATTACTTTATTAGATATGTGGTAACTTACTGCATTTCTCAACAAGTTTCATGGTCTTTAAAGTTTTTTAGTTTCTTCTTTTTATTTGAACTTTTATTAGCCATATGGTGAAAAGAAAACCCTTCTTGCTACACTGTCCCATCTCTGCTTCATACCTTTGTCTTCTCAGATTTGCAATACTGCATTTCTCAACAAGTTTTGAAATCTTGGAACTTTTTTAGTGTCTGATTTAATTATTTTTTGTAGAACTTGTATTCTTAGCCATGATTTGTGAAAGGAAAATCTTTTTGGTACACTGCCCTGACTCTGCTTTATACGTTTGTCTTCTTGGATTTGGCATTTGCATTCATTTGACATCCCAGTAAAATACATGGTCAAGTATCATCATGGTTGGAATGTTGGTACTTCTCTATATTGGATCTTAATTTAATAGTAAAGTTATTCATTTGTAGCTAAGTATGTCATATTCATCCTTTAATCTTGCATTGCATTTGAAACTGCAAGTGTTATCAAGGTGCATGCCTAGGTGCTAAGGCGAGGTACAAACCAGCAAAAGCACCTTTACTAAGGTGCACATTTCTTCTTGAGCTTAGGTGTGCCCCTTTAAAGGCACAACAAAGTGAAAGGTGCACCTAACTCAAGTCACTTTGTCTTTTCCACTTTTCTTTCTTATTTATAAGCTATACCTTCAATTTACCAAAAAAATGAAAACAAATGTGTCATTTTATAAGAAGTAAAAAGGGTTTTCACCAAAATAAAATGAAAGGGTTGCATGTATAACCTCATAACCATACTTTGAGAAGGGGCTAACCCAGGAGAGACATTGAGGGAGAATATAGAAGACTATTAATCTAGTGCAGATGGAAATTAAGAAAACTAAAACGGCTAGTTTGCTGATTTCCTTTAGCTACGGATAGTGCTTCATCTTTAGAATACATTACATTAGACTAGGAACTGAGTTAAGTTTGTGATGTTTATTAGCTACGAGTATATATTGTAAAGTTTATTAGGTATAATATCCATATTATACGCTTGTTTTCTTCCTAAGTCCTATTGTTTAATCAGGTGAGTACTTTATAATTGCCTCGCTCGTGTGATACAATTGTCCTAGCACCTTTTTGTGTCAATCCTTGTGCCTTTGACTACATACATTGTTGCATTGGCTCACAGGCATCTTCTATTGCTTGATGTTGCACTTTGAAGTAGGATCTTTTTAAGTTGGTGAGTAATAGGAACTTCACCAAAACACAGCTTTAGACAATCCATTGACTGTATTCATGTTTTTATGAGTGGTGGCATGGCAACAAGCATAAATGGGGCCATCTTGGCATTAGCTGGCAGAGTAACACTTTTGTAATATAGTGGCCTAAATGAGCTTATGTTTTTGTGAATATTTATCAGATGAGATCATGAAAATTTGTAGGCATTTGAGCAAGTCGGATCTGATGACAAATTAGTGATAGATACAATGAATTTGATGCACAACATTACTGCTTTGCCAAACATATTTATCTGTCTGTGTTTAATTCGTGATATGTGCTATGGTTTACTGACCACTTGGATATTTCCTCCTCTCATTCTGAAATAGCATTAAATGAATCAGATATATGCATATGCACACTTTTGATGGTAGTATTGCAGTATAACATGAAGGAGTGAATCTACTATTTGTTTTCAGATCATTGATGGAAACCAAACTGAAAGCTGGAACTACCCTTATAGTAGACCGGTACTCTTATTCTGGGGTTGCTTTCTCATCTGCTAAAGGACTTGATTTTGAATGGTGTAAGGTGAAGGCATTCTGCCAAAAAATCAACTGCTCCAAGTATTAAGTCATTTTCTGGCATGGTCTTTAATAACAAAATAAGTCCTTTTCTTCCAGGCACCAGAGATTGGGCTAATAGCTCCGGATCTGGTAGTGTACCTTGATATACCGGCAGAGGTTAGTCATTCACAAATTTTTTATGTTAAAATTAGTGAAGTTGATTGGTTATATTAAACAATTGACTAGTTTGAATTTTTTGGTTGTAATGATTATGGTGTTGATAGTTCACTCCTACACACTCCCTAAAGTTTGTTAAAAGGAAGGGAATCTACCACTTTTTCATGGCTAGGAAGACTGCCACCTGCTCAAAATAAGCTGATCTCAATTGGTCTAACCTGTATTTAATACAATACATCTTCCTCCCCCCCCTCTTTAGCTAAAAAAATATTTTTCATTGCTCTTCTGCTCAAGGAATTCATGACCCAAATATAAAATGTCATTGGAAAATTCTGTCTTGAATTTATTAACAAAGGGTCATTTAAAGACAGATTTATCTGCATTAGGATGATTGAATAGGGGGGGGGGGGTGTTAATAAAACATGATAAAGCTCAATAAAAGTTTAGGAAACAGTCAATGCAGTTAGTATCATATCAACAAGCAGCTTGTTTTATGTTCTAATGAAATTGAGGTCTTCTTTCGATTATTGTAATATCAAATAGTGCATCAATTTGACTCAAATGGAAAAATAGCCGATATATGCATACATATTATCCTTCTAAAAAAATATTAGATGCTTTTCTCTTAAATTGGGTTAGCATAGACTTTACATTGTAAGAACATTTTATTTCATGCTTACCTTGTGATTTGTGAACTTCATGGTTTTGCCATTCTACTCTCTATATAACTAAAATATTGTTTCATCTATCAGAAAGCTGCAGAAAGAGGAGGCTATGGAGGTGAGAGATATGAGCAGCTTGAGTTTCAGAGGAAAGTTGCCCAACACTATAAGCTCCTTGAAGATTCTTCCTGGGAGGTAATGGTTTGTTTCATCTTATGTTCTTAAGTAATAGCAAGATGCATGGCCTGCATCGTTGTTGTAACTTTGATGGGCTGTAATCTAGGTGTGAAGGATGATTCTGCTACTTATTAAACCTTTCTGACTGAGGCAAACTTTGTTTGTGGTCGCTCTAAAAGTAAATTTCTGGTTTTTCTTCAGAGCACAAGGAGAAACATTTCACCTGGTAGTTGATGACAGTACACATGTAGAAAAGCTAAACCTTTGTGTAATCGAACTTCCATCCATTTTATTGCTGCCTTTTGGTGATTGCTTTTGTGTATCCATTCATTTTTCTCTAATTTTCCTTTTATCGCTAAAACTTTGGTCTTACATGATATGATCATAAGGTCAATACTATCTTGCATGTATATAATGGTCTGTATTCTGCATCAACTACTAAAATCAAGTCACTGCTTACACTAGTATCCTCGAATTTAGACCTGTCTGCTACCTCTGTCCTTTAAAAAGTCTGTTCTTCAGTTTTATTTGTCCGGTTATTGGAGTGGATGTAGATATTGCCCTTGCTTATACTTTCTTATGTCGATTGCAGATTGTAGATGCTTGCCAAACCTTGGAAGTTGTGGAAAAACAGGTGAAGGAGATCGTATTAGAACATGTCACAACATGCCAAAAAGGGAAAGCTCTTTCATCCCTCTGGTCATGCTAGTTTATCTGTTTTCTCTTTTCTTTCATTGATGAGATGCAACACTTGCCTCTGGCAAGCTTGGCAGGGAGTTTTGATGCATAAAATATTCAGTGGTTCTTGTTTCAAATTATTGGTAGTGTTCAACTCAATATCTTCTCCCAAACTAGAAATGGTATCCTTGAAGTTCACAATATTGCTATGGATTGGAGATTATTGACGTGTGGAACGATTATCGAAGCTTGAACCTTGTACATTTGCTTCAAAAATCTATTTATATTTTTCTATATCAATATATGGAGTATGCTGCATCTTTGCATGTCTTGATATATTTTTTTATGCAAAGAAAGAAAGTTGCACTATAAGGATAAATACACGAGTTTCAGGTATTAAGATTTGAATTTAAATTTTAATGAATATTATCTCTTAAGATAATTATATTAATTAATTGAATTAAATTTTGGATTTATATTTCTTAATATTTTAAAAAGTAAACACTACTTAGTAATTAAGCGATAACTAAGAAAATGGATTAGCTATTGAATTAAATTTCGAGTTCATATTTTTTAATATTTTAATATTTCTTGGTACAAAGAAGATGTTGCTCATTGTGAAGTGTTGTTCCAAAACCGGCATGAGTAGATCGTTTATTCAACTATTCAAAAATTGTATCCAATATAATCCCATAAATAATATTACTGGATAACTAAAAATTAAAATGCAAGAGATGGATATTTAATTTTTAAATTATAAAACATAAAAGATTTACAAATTTGAAGATAATTAAAGATAATTTTAAAACTAATTGAATTCTCTTAATATTGTAGTTAAAAAGAATCTTGAGTACAAGAAATATTGGAAAGCAAAAGAAAGTGGAGAAATAAATAATTAATAATTAATTAAGGATATATTTATTTTTTTCTTTAAAATAAACTTAATAAATAACATTTCACAAAAAGTAGTATAAAATAACAGTTTGAAATTCATCATCTTCATTTTTATCCTTGAAAAAAAAAATTCATAAATAAAAAAGTATTTTTTAAATTAAAAATATATATATTTTCATAAAACTTCAAAATTAAATAAAAATGATGAAATGAATCGACGTAACCGAACTCATCATGTGTTGTGCTAACACAACCCATGTTATTATATTTATGAGTCGCACTTAAATCGAAATTTCTTAGCTTGTAAGTTAATACATGCATGGGCCCAGCACGATACGATTCATTTTTTTATTTGATTCTCATCTCTCATGTCTTTATTTATTAAAAAATAATTGATTAAAAGCAATAAGTAATCACTCCATTATCTTTCATGTGGCATACTCATTAATATAATTAAGGCTCTATTCCCCTTAAATAACAAAAAAAAAAAAAAAAGCTCATCACACCCTCTAAGCTCTTTTAATTAAAAAGAAATTTATAACCGAAACTCTTTTAGCTAAAAAAAATTAAAAATTTAAGTCTAATCACGTGAACATAAACATTTTAAGCAGAAACGTCTAAATTATTTATTTAATTAATTTTTATATTTATTAGTTCAAACTTAAATTTTAAGTTAATTAATTTTTATAATTTTTTTAGAAAATAAAATTTAATAATTTTAAATTTTAAAATTTAACATTTATAATATTCATCGTTGACTTTAATTTGTTGCCATCTATGAAAAATAATTATTAATACAAAACCGAACTTTCTGAAAATAATCACGTGGACACCTGCTAGCCGTTTAACTGTAGATATATAAAAGAATATGCTTTAACAGCTATTAGCATCTTAATTGCGACAGCCAACAATGAAAAATATATAAATGAATAAACAAATAAAAGTATAAGACTAACAACAACAACTCAATGATTTTTTTTTTTCACCTGTAAAACAACTCAATGATTTTTTATTTTTTTTTTACAGTAAAACAATACAATCATAGCCGATGTTTTTGTCATTTCATTTTCCTTACTTCCTATCTGTCAAATCTCTTTGCATTTGAGTCCAACTTTTCAACTAATAAGTGATCAAGTTTGTTCCATTTCGTCAATCACCGTTTCCACATTCTTTTTAGCACTTTTCCGGTCTAATTATGTCATTGTGTGTTATGCTTCTGAATTGTCATTGCAAAAGACTTTCTGTTCTGAGATTGAATTTCAGTTCTTTCAGTACTGCAATTGGATTTTGCAGGTGAGAAAATTAACAATCAAGACAAAAAGAGAAAAATATATAATGTTTTAAATCTTTATTCATGTCTAACTGATTGATATCTTTAACAAATCTTTCTTCTATCCTTAATTCTCTTCCTTTTCATTGCTGAAACTTTGTTCTTGAGTTTTTTTGCATTTTAGAGCTTAATTGTACTTTCTGACTATAAATGATGGAGCCTTTACTTTCCATATTGAATAAAGACATGAAATCAACAGAATATGTAGTTGAAGCAGTTTTGCCAGTACTGAAACTCCTTTCTATAGCTCTGATAGGACTACTTCTTTCCCACCCAAAAATCCAAATGATTCCAAAACCTACTCTTAAGCTTCTTAGCAAGCTTGTTTTCTTTCTATTCTGGCCTTGTTTGATATTCACTCACCTTGGTCCGGTCATAACTGTCAACAAATTCATCCATTGGTGGTTTATTCCAGTGAATGTTGTCATTAGTACAGCCATTGGTTCCATATTGGGGTTCTTAGTGGCATTAATATGCAGGCCACCACCTGAATTCTTTCGTCTCACCGTGATCATGACAGCTTTTGGAAACACAGGAAATATTCCTCTCGCAGTTGTTTCATCAGTGTGCCACAATGAAGATAACCCTTTCGGTGATACTTGTTATGATGGAATTGCATATGCATCTTTCTCCCAGTGGGTTTCTGTTGTTCTTGTTTACACTCTTATTTATCACATGATGGAGCCACCAATGGAGTACTATGAGGTTGTTGAGGAAGGGACTGATGAGATTGAGGAATTGCCTACAGGAAATGATATCAGTACTCCACTTCTTATTGAAGCTGAATGGACTGGAATTGAGGACAGAGAAACTGAACGTTGCAAAACACCAATTGTTGCAAGCATTTTTAATAGCATCTCCGATGTATCTCAATCTGATATTCCGGATGTTGAATTGATTCAAGAGGAAACTCCATGTAGTCCCAAGTCATATAGGTGTTTGGCTGAGCCTAAGGTAGTTAGAAAGATTAGAATTGTTGTAGAACATACGCCGATCAATCAAATTCTTCAGCCTCCACTGGTTGCTACTGTATTAGCTATTCTTCTTGGTATCATTCCACAAGTAAGAACTATAGTTTTTGGTTCTGATGCTCCTCTAGACTTCATCACAGACAGTATGGCCATGATTTCTGAGGCAATGGTACCTGCGGTCATGCTTGTTCTTGGAGGAATGCTATGGGAAGGACCAAATGAGTCTAGACTCGGTATTCGAACTACCATTGGCATCATTGTTGCTAGGCTTTTGATACTTCCTTTGGCCGGGATAGGGGTAATCTATTTGGCAGACAAATGGAATTTTTTGATATCTGACAGTTCATTATACAGGTTTGTGCTTTTGCTGCAATACACAACACCAAGTGCCATATTGTTAGGAGCAATTGCAAGCTTGAGGGGTTATGCAGTTAGGGAAGCTTCAGCTCTTCTATTTTGGCAGCATGTCTTTGCTCTGCTTTCTCTTTCATTGTATATATTTGTCTATTTCAAGTTGCTGGTTTCTCTCTTCTAAGGTTCGCTCAACCCTTTGTACTTTTGGTTTTCTTTTCTTGGCATATGATTGTCACCAAATGACTTGCCTTTTTAGATCTTGATTGCCTCATTCTCTTTAATTTATTCAGCAAGTTGAATATTGTTTTGCTTTTCAGATTCATTCCACGCTAGATTTATTGATTCAGAAATGAGATTCTGAGGGGGACCGTTATACGGCAGATATGTGGACCAGAATAGGTCCTGTGTTGCACAAGGCCCATAGGATATCATGGTATTTCCTCGGCCTGTAAATGGGCTGTAATGAACTATTTAGAACCACAACATCCCAACTTGGCCCAACAATTTTTTTTACCTCCTCTTTTTTCTTCAGTCACATAGTAAGTAGTTTGTAGTAGTATCTCAATCTGGCTCGAAAGGATCAAATTTGTATTAGTTCTTTCATCAAAGAAACTTAAAAGAAAAAAAAAAAAGAAGGAAGAAAAGAACTAGGAACATAAGAGCACTCATGCTAGGTTTGGTCCAGAACAGAGGTATACGGACAAGCCCAGTTGACACCTTAATGAACTTGCTCGAGGCTCGGTTCGATCAGCCAGTTTCATCTAATTTACATTTATTATTAAAATATTAAAAAGATTTTTACATTAATATTTTAATACTTTTACATATATTTTTTAATAAAAATTAATTATTTCATAAAAAAATAGTAATAGCCCGAACCCCACGACTCAGCCCTAGTCAAGCGGCCTAGCAGGTAGCCTGACCCATATCTAGGTCTAGCCCAAAATGACATGTCATATTGCGTAAACTTTAGCATGGTCCATGAAAACCCCATGTTGATTCCTTCAGGCTTTAGTTATCCGTTGCTATATCGATGGCACCATATATAAATATGATATATTTAAAAATTTTAATAATAATTATATATAAATTTAATAAATAATTTTTATATAAAATATAATAAAAATACATAAATTTTAATAATCTATATTAATATACATATACAAATAGCCAAATCTAATGCCACCTCAGCTGAAATGGACATTTCTTCTAATAACACACACTCGTACAGCTTCCTCAGTTGTGTGGTTCCTATGGATCCCACCGTTAACTGGGACAAGTAAAATTTACTCAATCTTTGCTATTAGAACAAAACAAAGTTTTTTGTAAATTCTCATTTCTTTAGTTTACTTAATCTTCTATAATCTATATTACTCGTATCTACTGTTTTATTGCCTGTTTCTATTAATTAATTTACTTGAACATTAACATTCATAAATATTTTAAAAAATGAAATTTAAAGGCCAAGTTTTAAAGGATAAAGGGATTGCATATTGAATTGAGGGTAATATAAATTGGGAAATGGATTGTCTCATTTAACAATGTGAATAGATAGGGTATCCATTAGTTTTGAATACTCATATTTTTGAACTCTATTATTTATTAAGATATTTTAATTCGATAATTTTTTAAATACTTTTGATATTTTATTTTAATCCTATTCATATAATATAGATAATAACTATTAATTATAATCCATTAAATATTTCGTTTATTAATAAATGCATATTATTAAAAAAATTTAAATTAATAAATTAAAGTTAACTCATAAAAAATTAAAATTAAAAATCATAATTAAGATATTTAATGAATTAATTTAATTAAGTATTACATTAATAATAAATAATTTATAAATACAATATATAATATTAAAAAATATATTATTTATAATCGAATCCAAATAATAAATTTTCTAAAATCAATTTCCATACTCATGATGAGTAGTAATTTTACCATTTAAATCTTACTCTAACCTAATTATAGATATCCTAATTCTATTTAATCAGGTCAGATAGTTCATAAACTCTTAGTCTCAATTATTAAATGTTTAGGAATAATAGACTTAAAATTTGGTTATATCTGTTTATTAATGATGTTTAAAAAGGTATTAATAGTAGTTTTTAATGTAATTAATTTAAAATATGAATGTAATTTTTAAGTAGATTGCAATGAATAAAATTGTAGTTACAAATAATTTTTTTTTAAAATTGAAAGTAAACAGAGAATTTACTCAATGAACATGATTGTTTGTTGGGCTTGAGTCATCATTCAAACAGACATTAAAAATATTTATGGGTCAGGGCTTGTCAATGAATATTTTAACATGCTCTGATTGGATATGGTACCATGTCCGTATTAAAGATTTGTGCCACACTCGGCCTCATGTTCATGCAACCATGTGCATCATTTCTGCCCAGTGCCGACACTTTTGCTGGAAATAAAATATTATGATGAATATAACATTCTTCATCTTTATTTTTTATTTTTATATAATTTTTTATATTTATATTCAATCAATATTTTAAATTTATCTTCATTCTTTTATTTTTGCAGAAATTTAATGGGAATGGAGATTCTTCGTAGAGTATTTCACTTATAATTCTATTTATTACAATTTTATAATTATCTAATTATAATAAAAAATTATTAAAAAATTTATCATTTCTAAATGCAAATTTTATATAAAATTTTAATAAATCTCATATAATTTTAAATCATAATTAATTAATTAATTATACTAAATAATTATAGGTGACTGCTGCCTCTATACTCGTAGCTCTATAAAAATAAAAAATAATTTTTTAAAATAATTTTATCTTGTATTTGCATGTAATTTTTTATAAATATATATTTTAAATGAAAATATATTAAATCTAACATAACTTAAGAAAAATTCAAAACCATCACACAATCAATAAACGATAAAAAAAAAAAAATTCAAACAGCTAATGCCAAATGAGTTTAATATATATTGTTAAATGAGATGGAGAGAGAGAGATATAGAGTAAGGAAGGTTAGTTTTACCAAATATAAAAGAGTGAAAAAAACATGTAATCTTAAAAGCTAATTAATATAAAATAAATTTTTTATTATTAACTAAAAAATCTATTTATTATATATATAAGATATAGATCAAATATTATATTATTCGTTTTTATTCTTATACTTAATAAAATTTTTAAAATAATATATTATTTCGCCTTGATTTCCAAAATTTAATATTCATTTATATCCTTATTTTATTAAAAAATTAAATTTCTCATTAAATTTAGATAAAATAGATGTCATCACAAAAACATATATATATATATATATAAATATAAAGAGAGATTCTTTAGTTGACATTTGAGCTATGATTTGATTTGTAATGTTGCATACATATTTTTGTTGCTTAAAAAAAAATTTTATTATGAATAAATCCATTACTATGATTTGATTAGTTAGTTGTTCAATTAGCTAAAGCAAAAGTTTTGGAGTGATCATTCAACAATTAATATGAAAATTAGATATATCAAATCAAATCAAAAGAGCCATTACAAGCTTGAAAAAGGGATTATCATAATAAAATTAAGATATATTCTTAGTTTAAGCACTTTAGTTGGTACCAGCTGAGGTGTGATTAAGACAACTTATCATAAAATAAATAAATAAATAAAAAGAGAAGAAGAGGATGAACAACAAGTTAAATTCCATTAAGTTGTGGATCCACCTTTAATGGAAGGTGTTTATAAACAAAAAAATAATAAATTTTAAAGAAAAATTTTCATTGGACACGTTTAAATTTTATTTTTGGACGCTTTAAAAATTAAAAATTTTTGAAAATTTTTTTCATGAATATCATAAAATTAATAAATCTATTAATAATTCTTGGATCCGTCGTTATGTCATTATTTGTATTGAGACCTAACAATCTAATTATAAATCTACAAATATTCTCTGTTCCTTCAATTTGTATTAATAGGATGACAGAGACATCCTTAAAAATTAAAAAATAAAAATATTTTACATTTCCAAAACTATTTATATTCTTTTTATTAACAAAATTGATAAATTTATAAAAAATTTTCAATGGATAAATCTTGGACACTCAAAAAAATTTTGGATACTTCATCAATATTCTTATAATATTCAAAACAAAACATTGAAAAATTAATATATATTTAAATTTATATATAAACTATTATTTTATATTTATTGCAAATAATTATAAAATTTTCATTAGTAAAAATCATAAATATTATTTTAATATAAAATAATATGTTACTTTGATTGGTGGGTGGGGTTTTTGCCAATGAATTGGACATTGTCCTATTGTTTTAGTAAAAAATCAATGTTGAAGCCGTTATATCCCTTTGTATTGAATGTTGTCAACATTTATGTCAACTTGGGATAAGATTATTGGATTTCATCATTAAGTGATTAAATATAATTAAATAATTAAATAGAGTTAATTTATGTGTCTAAATATATTTTTAAATAAGTAAAATAATTGGTGTATTGTATTAGCAATAAGTTACTTAAATAATAATTTTTATTTAAATAAATTTTTATATGTTTCAACACATATATTAATAGAGCTTTTCAACTATAAGGGATTGATCTCCTCTAAAACAAGATCAATCCTTAGCCAAAAAAATGCTATGTTATTAAAAAAAAAATTTGTTTTATTTATCATATTATCACGTTAGTAAAATCAATGTCCAATTAATAAAGTAAATAATTATATCATTAAAATTAAAAAAATATAATAAATAATATTAATAATTGGATCAATGTTATCAAATTCAATCTATGCAAGAATATGATTTTTATGAATTATATTAAATGGATTAAAGTTTAAATTTCATGTTAATAAAAAATTATTTATATAATTTAACAATTTATTTTATTTATATAAATTTTTATAACATAAAAATTAACATTATATCAACAAAAATCAACACATATATCAATAATGGAAAGCAATAATAATTAGGCTAATATTATTAAATTATATTTATAAAAATATAAATTTTTTATAAACTATACTAAAACATTAGAGTTGAAATTTTGTGTCTGTTCGACCATTTACATAATTTGAGATTTTCTTTTTAGTGAAAACTCTTGGTCTTTATTGTCAAAAACAAATTGTAATTTCGACCACATGTTTTTAACAAAGATCGCTAAAAAATAGGGTCCAAGCAAGAACCAGCAGCTGATTCGCGGCGATGATCACTCCTATTGGCTCCTAAGTGGTCCTAACTCCGACAGAAAGTAGGCCCCAAACCCACCTAACAACATTAGCAGATTCACCGCATTTGTTGTCACTACAGAATCTCACTTCATGTCATCCTGGTCCCATGATAAATCAAATGGTGAAAAAAAAAAGGCCACTAGAAAAACCTGTTTAAAGGAGAATCAAGGCCAACGAGCAATTTGGCATTTTTGCCGTTAGAATCTCGTTTTTCTTTGCTTTGGTTTTGGGTTGGAAATTGAAATGGAAATGGAGTTGTGGTGGTAATAACTACCACACTCAATCTCTTGCTTCATTTGAAGAAACAACAACCCAGGAAGGAAAACAAAAGACCAAGGATAAAAGATTGTTACTTTCTTCTTCAATAGAAAATCCCATTCCCTTACTTGTAAGCCTCTCCTTTTTTCCTTCTTTATTTTCTTTTCCATTGCATTTATAGCTTCTGTCCATGTGAATGTTAATATTTTTGTTTCTACTTATAAAAGTTCTTGTTCATTTATCAAGTTGATTTCTTGTTGGAACGTGGGTCTCTTTCTCTCTCTCCTACTTAGTCAAATTCTTTGCTTTTTGGTTTCTGGGTTTTTGTTCTTCTCCAATTTCCTTTCTGGGTTTTCCATTTTCATCTCATTTCTTATTATAGCTTTTAAGGCCAGCCTTTGTTTTTGCTTTGTTGGGATTTTCAGCTCTTGTAGCATATCTTTGATATCTTTCTGTTTCTAGCTAAAGGCTGCTTTACGTTTAATCTTTTTCGTTCTTTATTTTTTCATTACTCTGTCCAATATATCTAAAAATCATTTTGTTTGATGTGGTTTAAAGATTACTCTTTTGACTGTTGATTTGTAGGCAACATGTATTTTGTCTTTAACCACTTGTATATACTCCATTTACTTCTAATGGATGCTGCATTTTCTTGTATTTCATTTATTTCTCAAGAAAACCAAGGCAGATCTTTACGCTATATGTTTGTTTAAGCTTCTAGATCATGAAAATTTTAGTAAAAAGTTTTTGATTAAAACAATCGTAGAAACTTTTATTAGTCATACTTTCAAGGAAGCTTATATATGCATTTTTAATCCTATAAGATCTTCATTTTCATAACTTTTTTGTTCATGAAATGAAAAGGGGTTCTATTTCCATTGCAGATTGAACTTTTAATTTTAACTGTCTTAGAGTTACTCCTACTATTCCCATTTTTTTCCTTCTTTTTTTTTTTTTTTTTTGGTTGTGGTTGTATGGGATTCTGTGATATTACATGTGATTTTAATAACAATTGAAACTTCTGTCAGTTTCTACAATTGTTATCCTTTTTTCTTTTGTGTATGAATTAAAGGATGGGGGATCATTTTGTGTTGCTTGTGGATCGGCTGCTAACTGAATCCACCCTTGAAGCTGCTATTGACAGTAAAAACCAATCACAGCAAGGCATGCCCTCAGCAAGCAAAGCTGATATAGTTGACTTTTCATCTCATAGGATAGATGGGAACGTTGGTTCATCTCCAAGCAAATTGGTGCAATGTAGGATTTGCCACGATGAGGATGAAGATTTGAACATGGAGATACCCTGTTCTTGCTGCGGCAGCTTGAAGGTCGGTTGTACATCAACTGGTTCTTTTTACTTGAAATTTTAATATCATAACCCTAAAGTTATGCATAAATTGTAGTATTTCATATTTTTTTCCCATAATCGTGCTAAATTAAAACCTGGATTATAACATGTATTGCTAAATGCTAATGTGTTCTTAAGCATCAGTACTTTTATAAAACTATAGCCTCTTTTTATCTTGCCTGGAAATGTTTATTACTTTCTCTAAAGCATTAAATATCACCTTAAAATTTGCTTGTCATTTGGTAGATTCACATTTCTGTTTTATCTGGTGTCATATGTCTAGATCAATTAAATAAGTTACCATACGTATTCTTAAAATCCAATGTTCCCTTGCATGTTGGATAGTATTTACCCTTTTTGAGAGAAGAAGACCAAACGCCTCAAAACCAGATATAGAAGCCGTTAAAATAATGGAAATTATACAGTGTGCTTCAGAAGCTCTGTTGCAATTTGAGAGGGTGCATAGTTCCCATTTGACATGCGTCTCAAGAAAAAGCTAGGAAAACTTTATAGTGCCCACATTTGACATGTATGATACATTCATAATCAATTGATTACTGTGTCTTGCCATGCATAGAACTGAGTGTATTCCCACCATATACTGAGGGCATTCTCCCTTCTTCCATTGGTATTTCAAAAATTTCCACTCATTTCGGGTATTTGCAAAAGTGAGAACTTGTTTCTTCTGCTACTCTTTCTTTGAATGTTGCAGTATGCTCACCGCAAATGTGTTCAGAGGTGGTGCAATGAAAAGGGGGATACCATTTGTGAGATTTGCCAACAGGTCCAACCATTGTTTTATTTGTCAGTTTATCATCCGCACTCTTCTCTTTCCTCAGATTTGAAAGAAACTGATTGATACTCTCTCTTTTGTTGGAATATTTGCAAAAGTGCAGCAATTTAAACCTGGCTATACAGCACCATCTCCATTATTTCATTATGGAGGTGTTCCTATGAACTTCAGGTATATCTTGAGCTCTCTAGCTATATTCTATCCCTCTTTGCATGATGGATTTGTTTTCCTTCACTCATCAAGAGAAAATTGTAATATCATCTCAGAGGAAATTGGGAAATTTCCAGGGGAGACTTGCCAGCTCCTCGTTTTATAACAATGGTCACTACTGATCGTGATTTTCTGGATTCGGATTTTGATGATTACTCAGCTCCCAGTTCTCGAAGCCTGATTTGTTTTCGTGCGGTTGCTATAATTGTACCTCTCTCTTTCTCTCATATAGTTCTAACTGAAAATTCATTTCTCTTTTAACTGTTTGGTTTATTTGATGAATTTATCAAGCATGGTATTAGAAAGATAAATGTTGGGGGGGAGGTGGTGTTGTAATTAATTTTAACAAATATACCTGTCACAAACTGATGTAAACATGGTATTCATGGAAAATTTCCCTGAAATCAGTTTTTCTTGAAACGAGGTGATCTTTGTCAAAGTAATGTCTCCTGCAAAATTTGTTTTCAAAGTAATTAAAAGGAAACATGAACTCAGTGAAAAAAATACACGAAAGGTGGTTGATTGCCTGTTGGTCCAGCAGCTGCGAAGGAGGTAAGGTGGCTGGAAAATGGGCCCTATTGTTCCCTAACTATGTAGCCTGTCCTTTCATTTTGGCGGTGCCTTGCTTTTTCAGTTAGTGAAAATGTTTCACCATGATATCTGAGTTTTAATCATAAGTTTAGCTGCTTCTACTTTAGTACATGAGACATTAGCAGTTACAGTCATTGTTCTCCTGGTAATGCTGAGTTTGATATTCGAACTCTTCTCATACAAGATTTGCTAATAAGCCGGTATGTAAAAATGCTAAAGCATCTTGAGTGCACTTTGTTTATGTCTAATTTCTTTGGTATTACTAGAATTGGTTATTTGGTTCCACCATTTAAACAACAGGTTTTCACATGCTTATGTGCAGTTTATGGTTCTTCTGGTTCTGCGCCACACTCTTCCGATCATAATCAGTGGAGCTGGAGACTATTCCTTGACATTGTTCACTGTGAGAGCACATTAAACTAGTTATTATTTGTACAAGAGCAAAATGGTGCCATTTAGGCACACTCTTGCTAATGAATGTAACTTTTTTCACTTTATGTTGCAGTTACTATTGTTGAGAACCATTGGGATTCTGTTGCCTATATATGTCATGGTCAAGGCATTCACTGCTATCCAACGTCGCCGGCACCATCAGGTTGAGAATACACAAAACTTTATAATTGTACTGACTGAATCGCCTATCTTATTGCTAGATACATTTTTATCAGCTTCTGCTATTCAACAACTGCTTTGTTACCAGCCAAATTGGCACTAAATTGTCCATGACTTAATTATGTTCTAGGATCCTCGTTTTTCCCTTGCTGCATCAGATGAAGAAAGTGATTTACCGCAACTGCAGCAGACACAGTCACGATTTGTTCGTATAGATTAATCTAGTCGTGGTGCTGAATCATATGAAAGGAAGAACTGAATCTTCGGTACTCAAATTATCTTTGTGGCGCAAGAGAAAGAACAGAAAATGAGCAGGCTACATGTACATACACTCTTGACAATGGTTCAGCAGCTGCTGTGATCTTTAGCAGGGCAGAAGGGGTTGATCATAAATCAAATTCAGTGAGGATTCATGTCTCATCAGAATGCATATTTTACTACGAAATGTATAAGTTAGGAAAATAGCAAATAGAAATATAGCTTACTAGGGATGTAGAAATTGAGAATTGCATATTGGCAAAGCTGGTAAATTGTATTTATTACTTAAGATCAAAACAACTAAGAAAAGAAAAGTAACCTAAAAAAATATATATTTGTGAAGTTTTTAAACTTCATAAATAACTTCACAAATAAGATCGTAAAGTGAACTTCGATTTCAAAGCAAAAATTTCAGTTAGATTCATGCAGTAGGTTAATATGGTTCCAAGTTCCGTGAATTCTAAATGTAGGGGCCATGTTACCGGTAACACCACGTCTAGATAGGGATATATATACGTAAGATATGAGATAGAATAATTTTTAATTTTTATTTTAAGATTTATATATTATATTTAATTTTATAATATTTTAAATTAATTTTATTTTTTTATATTTAATGGATACAAGTAATTGTTATATTTGTAATTTTTTTTAAAAAAATAAAACCAAATTGTTTTTTGTTTTTATTTTTATTTTTCACATTTATGTAATTTTTATAAATATAGATCAACATATATTTTTAAAAATATATATTAATTTTAATTAATTTAAAATAAAAATTATTTACTAAATTTATGTAAATATATATAAAGATAGGTATGAAATAAATATTATATTATCTGCTTCCGAAAAACATTTAAAATTATACCTTTCACTAATCTAAAAATTTAATACTCATACTCGTTTTTATTTAAATAATAAATAGATTTTTTTTCATAAAGTATGATTGACATCCCTATTCCAAAACAATAAATCTACTCCACTAGATCATTAGCTTATAAGAAGAGAGAGCAGAGGTCGGTGTAAATCAACTGCACCAATTAAAATCCGATAATTAAATTAAATTGGATTTAATTTTTCCATTCAAGAAATTATATTGGTTTTGTATTCGATCGGTTTACGGTTTTGAATTTTATAAACCAAATCGATAAAAAAAATCAAAATTTAATAATCAAATATTTAATAAAAATATTTTTTAATATTTGAATTATTTAAAATTTTCAATTAATCAATTACCCATTTCTTTTTATTCAATATTTATTACGAACCTTAAAATTTAAATCCTAATTTTCCTCTCTTCTCTTTCACACATTTTGATTTTCCCGTACACCCATTCGAGGAAAAGGAAAAGAAAGATGGGAAGTAGTAGCAATGACAGCGGCAGTTGGGAAACACTTAGATTAAGTTTCTTAAGTGAAATTTGTAAAAAAATAATTAAATTAAAATTAATAAATTAAAATATTTCGTTATATAAATTAAGTATAATTTTTTTTAAAATTAATAAATTTTGATATATAATTTTAAATAAATATTTTTAATTAAATAATAATAAAAATTTTATCGTTAAATAAATATATATTAAATTTGAGTTATAAATAATATTTTTAGTAATTTTTTTACATATTATTAATTTTTATATTAAAATTTATTAATTTACATTTTTTATAAAAATTTTTATTATATTATTTTAAAAAAACTTTATAAACTTCGTCTAAAAAGCTTTATATTGGTTTTGTCCGCAGCAGCTTTGAGTCTTACTGCTTTATTAGCAGTCACTCATTTTGTTTGCAGGCCAGCAAAGGTTTGCAATTTCGAAATCGAAGGGTATAAAATTGGGTCTGCGAGCTACTCTAATAGAAGCCAGACCCAGAGTCAATGGTTCGCCAGTGACGAAACAAGTGTTGGGAGGGCACCGAGCTGAGGACTTGCATGTGGAGGGCAGAGCCATGGCTACAGCCTAAACTTCTAGCGCAAGTATGGGTCACGACCGGTCCAAGTTATACACTTTTTTATTATGATAGAATTATTATAACTTGAAAGAAATGGAATCCAGTAAGGATTCGAATTTTGCTGACGAGGAATAAAATTGTTACAATTAAGTAGTAAATAGAGATGTTTATATATTTATTTAAATTTTATTTATTTTAAATTAAAATAAATAAATTTTAAATTTATTAATTAAATTAATTTATATAATAAAAAAATTTAAATTCCTTTTTTTTAAAAATAAAATATAAAAATTTACAGTACTTATATAATTATAATAATTTAATTATATATATTTTGAGCTGACCAAACAAAATTTTAATTTTTTTTTAAGTCAAACTTAAAATTTAAATAAATTAAAAATTATATTCAAACTCATTTAAAGAATTTTAATTTTTTATTCCCACCTTCTCAAAATAAAATGAACCTTTAGAACCTTTAGGTCTGAATAGACCTGACTCTTAAAACACTAGTTAATAAGATTTTGAAAATTTTGATAGAATTGAGATTTTTTGCTTTGAAACAATTGTTGGAGCAAAAGAACAGGATGTTGTGTCAAAACAAGAGAAACTAACCAAACTAACCGCCCTAAACCGATTCGATTAATTTCAGTTTTCATCCTATTAATTGATCAGTTTGGTTTTTTCAAAAATGAAATCAGTTTAGTTAGTTTTTAGATTTTTACAACCATTTGCTCTGCCCCGGACACTTAAATGATTAGGAAGAATGTAATTAACTTGAAGGAACTTTTGATAACAATATTCAACCGTCCAAGACCAAATCAACAATGTGACCGGTGACATCCGGGATCAAAACCCAAATATTAAACACTAGAAACACAAAACGACACTCCATGAAATAACTAAAACAAACTTTAAATTTACTCATTGACCACTCTTATTCTTAGTAGCATAAAACACCTTAAAAAATGCAAGTACACAACCATGGCAGCAACCACCTGCAAGAAAGAGTTACCATGTCATTCCTCTTCAGATTCTGACTCTGCACTCTGAAGCCAATCAATAAAAGGCTTAGCATTCTTCCATATCTGAGAGCCTTTGTTATCACCCTTCAGACCTTCTTGGTACCATTGCAGTATGTACTCCTCCTCCAACACATCAGTATCATAGAGTGCCTTCAAAACTAAAGCAACTTCCTCCAATGCACTCGAGCTGGCCTTTCCCCAAAATGACACTATAGCTTTAAGTAGTAGCAGCTGTGATATCTCATCTTGAGCAGCGGCAGCAAGGTAGCTTTTCTTCTTAACTACCTCTTTTGCAAACCCTTTCCCGATGCCATCAAATATTGCCTCTAACAGAGCAATCATCTTTTCCTGGTCAGAACCAGAAAGAGAAAACAAGAGAGACTTAAATTGATTTGCAGAAGCACCTTTCTTCAAATTTGCTTTCAACTCCTCAACTAGGGTTTCATGAAGGTCTGAGTTGCCATTCTCGACCTTGTGATTGTCTTGTCTTGGTGAAGACATACCATTTGAATTGTTGCTTGCCTTACTAGTCACTTTTGTTTTATTTTCTGATTCATTTGTAGATAACATGACCATATCCGCTGTCACAGCACTCAATTGCTCCTGGATTCGCTGCTGGGCTGCCTCTAGTGATGTATCAGTTTGCCACTGCACATCATCATCCTCACCCTCATCAACCTCTTCCTTTTCATCAACTTGACTGTGAGGTGGTGAAATGTGTTCATCATCAGAGCCACCAACTTTCTTCTTTATAGAGCTGACTTTACTGGTGCCTTCCTTAGCAGAAGTGCCTTTCTTTTTTCCCTCTTTCTTCAGTTTTTTCTGCTCTACGTCTGCAGCCTCACCTTCCTTAAGTCGCTCCTTTTCAGCCCTCCTCAATGCCTTCTTGTCTTTTGCTCCCTTCTTCACTTCAGGTGGGTTTTTCAAGATGAAAGTGGTCAACTTATCTCTCATATCAACATTTGAAACAAAACCACATGCAGCACAGTTCAACTGGATCATCTGATTCTTAGTTATCAATATTTCAGTTTCTGGGTTTCCACAGCCATAACACTGCACATATTTCTTGATGAAGTTCTCAAGAAGTCCAGCAAGCTTAACAGTATCATGGGATCCATTAACAAGAGAAGTCCCAGTTTTATCATCAAATTTAGACTGAGCACCAAGCTCACAGCCAAAATACTTGGTTGTGTAAGAAGCAGGCCTTGCCAATGCCTTTGCAATATCAACCATGTTGACTATGTTCGTTTTGATGCCATTTCCTCGGCCCTCAATCTTGGTGATCATTTTGGGCATCTTATACCTGTAGAAGGCATCATCGCTATTTCCAGCACCGATGTTCTGCAAAGCCATCTTCAACAACGATTTAAAACAAAATAGCTGAATGTCACAGGCAGCAAATGCTGGAACTCAAGGTATAAGAAGCAGTTAAGTCTTCTAAAGTTTCGTAAGGTATGAGAGATAACTGATCTTCTGCAATCACAAAAGGTTGCAACCAGCTGCAACCATGAAAATCTGGGTGTTCTTGAACTGATCCAAGATGCATAAAGCCAAATTTGTCTGAAAAAGGTCTGATCTTTTTTCTAACTGAAGGACAACACTCTCCACACAACCCAATCGATCCCAAATAGGGAATGGCCTGTATGGACATAAAAGAAACTTTGAACTTTTACACACTGCACCTTGGAACTCAGCTGATAGCAGCAGCACCTGCAAGCTTAGTCAACATATAGCACCTTCATAAGTCAAGAAAACATAAAATATGTACAATTGGTAACAACAATTCATGTTCATAACTCATAAGCAAGCCCCAAAACGCCACCACAGAGTTACAACGAATCATGTAAAGAATACAGAATTCATTCCAACACTTAGTCAAACAAGCTATCGACTGACTCAAACTTCGGAAACTAATATGTCAACTAATAATATATTTGTCTTCAATAGATTAGAACCATAATATCACATCAATTACAATAATAAAGCACATCAACAATAATTTTTTTAGTCAAAACAATACAATTTTTATTTAAAAATTCAAAGTAAAATAAAAGCCCATAAAAATATGACTTTTACATCATGTATTATAAATACAAGCACATTTACAGGAAAAAAAATCTTAAAATTTACAATTTTCCAAAAATTTTCAGTACTACTAAATACTAATATATGATTTCATTAAGTTGGTTTTTAATTTTCAAATAAATTAGCTTTAATTCAATTTAAATTTATTTTTCTCTTTTTTCTTTCTAACCTTAAAGATTACAACTTCTATTTCCTTACCAAAACTATTTAAGCAATAAAATCAGCTCCTTCACCTAAAAACATTTAATCAACATGGGGAAAATAAATAAAAAACAAGATAAATAAATCTAAAAAAAAAATCAGCACAACAAAAAATTCAACCAAAAAACTCAATTATTCTTTGATATTCAATTCATCCATTGATTCCATCAACAAATCCCGATTAATCAATACAAAGATCTCAAACCGATAATTAAATTTAGAAAAAAAAAATACAAACGTAAACGATCATCGAAACAAATCGAAAGTTTTTAGATTCTTTACCTGAAATCGAAGGATCGAGAAAAAGAAAGAGAAAATAAATAAGAGAAGCTAGGGTTTCCAGGCAAATTGATTTTTGTGGATGTTTGGTTTTGAGCTTGCGATTGTTTGTTTATATACGGATTGGAGGTGAGGCCAGGAATTTTGATTGCGTAAGGGAGGGACCACATCAGGTTCCATGCTTTTGCATGCTGTTTATTGTGGATCTCCTGTTGATTTGTTGACTTCAAATTTAAATAAAATAATAGTATTATACCTCCGTAAGTACCCTTTTCTTTGTTTTTTTTTTTTTTTGAAAGTGCCCTTTTCTTTTCTTTTACTTTTTCTTTTATTAGGGGATAATAATAAACTTAAAAAAATTAAAAATTAAAAAAATTGTTCAAAGGGAGTTTTAGTCTAAAGAAAAGGAAAAAAAAGTATATTATGTCATGTAAGAAATGTTTTTTGGATAAGCTAAGGAACATCTTTGTTTTCTTTATATAATTTTATATAATGAAATTTATTTATTTTTATAGATAAAAAACAAATGAATTTTCTTTTCAATATTATTTTACAATGTCACAAAGTTTGAAAGACCCTGAGGATGCATAGATCTCCAAAAATTTAACCATGAAATGTAAATTTTGGCCACTTCTTATCATTAATACACTCCAAAAAATATAATAATGGTGCATTATTTTGTCTTAAGTATCAAATTATTATAGAAAAAGCTTTGGCTTATACCATAGCATTTTATCTTTTGTCTTCAATTTGGTCAAATTGATTGTTGCTACATTGGAGTTAATAAACCAACAATGCATTTAGGTAACAATGCTCCAAAATAATAAAATGACAAAAAAAATCAAATTTGTGAAATAATAATAAATGATAAAATCCTTTTCATCATTTCTCGACACATATCTTTATTTACTTATAACATTTTTTTTAGCAAAGAACCCTTTTACAATATTCCTTTCTAGAAAATAAAATTGAAATTCTTTTATTATCTTCATCATCTATACTTATATATAATAGCAGTCCCTTATTGTAATTTGTTGTACACATAAATGATGTATTAAAAAGATTAAGGGTAATTTTGATTAAAAGCTTTTCTCTAAAAGCTTCATTTGCTTTCATTCAGATAAGCTTAATCAGCTTGTTACAATTTCTTCCTTTCTTTTCAAAATTTGCTTTTATTCTTAAAATATTTTCAAACTTGATTAACTTACTTTAGAACCCAGTGAACCCATTGTCATCAGCACCGATGTTAGCTATTACTAATTGTCATTATTTCTTTCTTTCTGTTTTCTTTTTCTTCTTCTTTTTCCTACCTATTCTCTAATATGCTAAATAGCATAAGAACAAAAATCTAGAAATTAGTCGATCATTATACAACTCGAATAAAGTTATCTTTTACAAGCATGGAACAAATAGATATGCAATGTAAAAAAGAAAAATTAAAAGGTAATTTTAGAAACAAAGCTTCTTCAGAAGTTTCTCTAAAAGCTTGAAAGGAGAAGCTTCTATAAAAATCTAAGGTTTTATCTTTCTTTAGAAACTTTTCCAAAAGCTTGAAGAGAGAAGATTCTAAAAAAATTCAAGGTCCTATCTTCGTTTTTTAACAATCAATTTTGTTTTCTTTGGCATTTTTAATTTGTATGCATGTCAAAATCTTTTCTTTCTCTTTAGATTTGAATTTAAGGTTGATTTTTTTTTCTTTAGCTATCTAAGTTAGTGTTATCATCACACAATGGAGCTATGATTTTTGGACCTTTTAACGAAGCTTTAGGCTTACCTAAGTAATCTAGGTCAAACTTATGGGTAATGAAACTCTGGTCTAATCTGTGTGTATTTGATGAAGCTAACGCATCTGATGTGTCTGTCCTTGATAAGTCCACTATGTTGATGTGGAGAACGCTACTTTGGTGTCTCAATGATGTTTAGGTGCAATGCTCGATTGATTTTTTTTTTTATGTTTTTAGGGTTCTTATTTTTTTGCAGGGTTTGTTTGAGTTTTTTATGGGGTTTTAATGTGGGGATTCATTTTGGTTAAATAGGTGAAGTTGCTATGGATATAGAGAAAGGAAAGGTGATTGGTGTAGGGTTTACTGGTCTGGTTAAGAACAAACCAACGAAACCAGCAAAATTAGGTTTTAAAGTGCCATAAGTAAAACTTTCTTCTGAGCACTCTCAAGTATGTTATATGAAATTGTAAGTTATCCCTTGCATTATTACTTTGTCCAAAAGCATGATTACTCTTACAATAAAAATTCATGCATTGACAATGTTTGTTTGTTTGTTAAGGTTTGCAATTGAGTGTGCATTGCTTTGTGATGATTATGTTGTTGTTAAGGTTTCTTGTGGTATGATAGTGTAGAAAGCGGTGGAATTGCTATTCTTCTGCACCAATTCGATTAGCACATGAATTGTTAATTTAATTTTGTTTTTTCTCTCTTTTTCTTTTGTGATTAAACAAAGGTGAAGATTATAAAGATTGCTGATTTTTCTTTGCAAGAAAGGTAACCCATCGAAAAAGTTTATTTTTTTTTCTAGGTCTTGAAAATGAGTTTTTTAAAATGGAAAATTTGATTTTGGAAAATAGCACATTGAAATTAGTTTTTTGTTTGGATTGTTTTTTGTCATGCATGGTTTTTTTTTTTTATGCTATAGCTCACTTAAGGTTTATTTTTACCAACAACCGCCATTTTTTACATATTGGCCTTACAGTGGTGAGACAAGTTTTTTAAAGTTCCACAAGTTAGGGAAAAGTCTTCAAGTGTAGATGTCACTCCTGTTCAACATGTACGCACCAATTTTGTTTGATTCTATTTTAACTTAAATATAATTTTGTTTATATTATTACAACTATTATTAATTAATTAATTAATTAATCTTTAAAAAAAAAAGAAAAAGGCAAAAAAAAATTTTGATTTTAACTCTTACAACTAAAATCAAGCTGTCAGAGTAGTTCATTTTTCTCCCCTGACACTACCTAACTTGGCAATATAAAATTCAGTGACCAAAAGTCACCGAATAGGTCTCTAAAATTTTTCACATAAGGATCCCGCTAGATCTAGGATTTGAATCCAATAAGCTCTATAAATAAATTATATAGAGAGCTCCATGGATGCCATGAGAAGTCATATTGTACAAGTTTGGTGACAAGCAATAGGTTCCACTCTTAAGACTATGGGGAGATATAAGTTATGCTCTAACAATGGTTCATCGACAATTGAGATTAGAACAATTCATTTTGATGACTCATAGGCTTTGGAAATTAGAATTCTCTTTCGAGGAGTCAAAATTTCTTGAGAAAGTGAAAGAGATTATCAAAGAATGGAAACAAACCTAGAGAATGGATCATGGGGGGTTTATGGATAAAGCCACACCTAAATATTTGATATGGAGAAATCAACATGTGACAAGCAAAGTTAGTCCTAAAAAATAGAAACCATGCCACCAACAAGATACCTGTTGTGAAAAGATCCTTGAAGACATAAAGATTATAAAGTGTAAATTTAAAGAAAAAAAAAATGAGAGCTTGAAAAAAAGAGGCTTTAGCATGATATTAATGAGTGAAAAGATAAAACTGATAAGAATGAAGTAAAATCTCAAAGGCTTGAAAAAAAAACAAGAAGAGATTTCTGAAAGCTGGTATAGGTCCATCACTTCAATGATCACAAAGCTTGAAAAATTCAAAAAGTAAGTAGAATAGCTTTAGTCTAATTTGTTATCTAAGGAAGAAGAGCTTAGTCAGTCTGCGAAAGAAAAGAAGATACTACAATGTCTCATAGATAACTTGAAATAGCAAATGCACTATCGATGTGAAGTCATTCAAGTTTTGAGAGAGGAATAAGATCAATTTGAACATAAAAAATAATATTAAAAAAAATGTCAGTTGAAAGAATCTCAAGCCACTCTTCTAATAAAACAGATAAGAGAAGTTAGTTTTAAAGTAAGAGACATGGCCCAAGAAGCTAAACCAAGAAGAAGTTTACCTAAAATAGCACAATCAACGCTTGACCAATTTTTTAGATAGTGTTTATGAGCAGTACAAGCATGTAAGCACTTCTTTTGAAAATTTTAATATTGTAATAAAAGAAATATTTAGTAAGAATAAGTTGACGTTATGATTTGGTAGTTCAAGTTTATACTTAAAATCTTTTGTAAATATTGGATATATAACAAGCACATCCTTTGCATTTATGCATTCATACATTATATGTGTGTTTCATTTAAAAAATGCATCATGACTAAAAGAAAAAAGCCTCAAAATAACAAATCTCAAAAAGTTTCCCTTAATTCAATCAGTGCAAGGATAGTTAGGTCATTAAAAAACATATATCAGATTACTCATCATCATTACAACACTTGCTCATAAGTTAGAATCCTGAAAAGTGAGCAAGCATCTAGAATGGAAAAGTTAGAAAAAGCTCAATTTAATATGCAAGAGCAAATGATTAGGTCTTAACAAGAGTTGATAGAACAAATAACTAGGTCTTAAGAAGAAACTTGAAAAGAAATTGTTGCAATGATGGACATGATAAGAAAAATGATAAAAAAAAAGGTACCTGAAAAAGTGACCATTAAGAAAGAGCCTCAAGCCCAAGAAAATATCGGTGATAAGAAAAATCCATTGTATCCACCAAGATTTACCCCACACTATGCTCAAACTTTTCATCAAGTGCATCCACAAATGACACAACCTAAAAGGTAGCCACATGTTCAATTTACTTTACCCCTCTTCTCTGTTCAACCACGTAGTCAAGGACACGTTGGTATAAACATTGAGGTAAGTCATGATGAGCCCATTATGATCCTAGATTTAGATAACCCAAGAGAATAGAAGAGACTAAAGAAAGGCACATCTAAACAATCTGGTAATATAAAGGCATAGCAAAAATTAGATCTATTGGAAGAAAGGTTACGAGTTGTTGAAGGTGTGAATATTTTCGTCACAATTGATGCAAGTGAACTCAGTTTGGTTCCAAATTTGGTAATCCCACCAAAGTTTAAAATACTAAAATTTGAAAAATATGATTGAACTAAATGCCCTTAAGCACATATCACAAATTTTTTTACCAAAAAATGATCAAGCATACAAATAATGACAAGTTTCTTATCCATTATTTTTAGGATAATTTTATCGAATTAACTGCCAGATGATATATTCAATTAGACAAGAATCGTATTCATTCATGGAAAGATCTGACCAAAGAATTTATT